TACAGAGATTAACATAGCGCCTCCTCATTAATAATACAAACGAACTTACAATCACCACGCATTTAAATGTTGTCACAGTGCTGCTAGGAACTAAATTAGCACGCTTGATACTGCAAAGTAATATGATAGTGTTCCTTTTATCTGATCTTATTTATTTATTTGTAAAAAGCATAAATCGAACCGTTTGAAATAAAGTGAAGCAACATTTCTTTCCCAAGCTATCTTTTGATTCAACATCAAACAAGCAATTTACTATAGGTAGAGTACCTTCAATATCTTGTTCTAATCCAAATATGACCTGACAACATGCTATTAAATTTACTAGTAGCAGATTATATAGTATGGCCATTAACGAAACAGACCTCAAGGCCAATTATATCAATCCTCTCCTTCATAACATTCATTAACAAAGATCTTAATCTTTTGAAATGGCCTGAGGCCAACCATCATGATAGAACTTATAGAACCACAAGACGACAAGCAGCAATGCCATCATTTATGCAATTGATCAAGATAAACTCGCCACTCCTTCGGGTTTGCTGAGGTCAAATCCCATGGCTATTCCATGAAAAAATATGTTATGTACAATCTATACCAACTTATGCAATTCGCAAAAGCCATCATCAATCAATATATTCTTAAATATGTCAACCCTTGTTGGTGACAAAGTCTACTGTACATATGAATTATTTAATTTCTCGTTCTTTAAGAGATCTTTTCAATTAAAAACGTATATTAAAAGCCAATAAAGAAATTTATACCATCAGGGCTATGGTTCTGATACGTGCATCATATTAACTAGGAATAGTCCCGTCATTACAGAGATAGTAATCAATTTTCGTTTTCCGTCAAGTCGAGCAATTGTAATTCGCTTAATCTTAACAAAGTTCTCAATACGCGAAGCAATATTTCACTTTGCGGCTAAATTTGATATTCCAAACCATGAAGGGGAAGGGTGCAAAAATGCAAAAAAAAGGTAAAGAGAATAAGGAATGTGTTGGTAAATATTTGGCTGAGATACACAATCAACGTAGCCATGCTGCATAAATCATGAATTTAATTTATATAGTTTTTTTAAAAACGTTTCAGGCACCTCCTTGCTTTACACTTCTTTAATAAAATCATATTGCTGTAAGCTTACTTTTTTTTCAATATCATCTTTCATGCGAAAAAAAATAGAAAGAGATAGAGAAAGCTCAGAATTATGCACAAATAGTTTATTTACTAAAGTAACACGCACATTTTATTAACAGTCATTTTTAATATGGCAAAAAATCAACTACTGTCTGTTTTCTTTTTGATATAGCGCTAAGCTATAGAATAATAGAATAAAATGATAAATCAAGGAAATATGATAATTAAAAGCCAAAAGATGTAGAAAAAAATATGAAAGCAAGACACATTATGGTTAATTACAACCTACTAAATAGATGTCGAATCAGTATTAATATAGTTTTGATAGTAATGTACTTTGCTTCAAGGTCATCCACATGTTTGTCAGATTCAATCTTACCATTAAGCTTATTTCATGCATAAATGGTGCGGCGAGTAGCCTATGAATCTTAATATAGTGATATAGTACTTAGTAAGCATGCATTAAATTATATAATAACCACATGTATCTCATTTCATTAAGCAAAGCAATAGCAGCAAATAATCCATTTAAATCAAACCTGTATATAAAAAATAGTAGAATGTGTGATATAAACATATGCTAATGATCATTCTATAAATGTAAAAGAATGCCTAGCATTTATATAAATGCTATTAAATCCCCCCCTTTTTTTTCTCTGTTATAAAATACTTGATGTTGCTTTCTTTCCATTAAGAAAGAAGGAGGGGTAAAGCCAAGTGTGCACAAAAATAGGAGCAGCATAATATCTTTTTCTGAAGTATATAAATGAAATATACGTTGTATTAGTGTCCGCAAGGTATAAGTTGATCGCAATTTCAGCAAATTTAGCACATACATACAAGGAAAAAAAACGAGAAAAGCAAAAATGCTTTACTGGCCAAGGTCTTTTTTCTTTCAGGAAAAGAATTTATTTAAAGAGGGAAAAGTGAGAAAGAGGAGTAAGTTCACAGTATAGGCCACTGCTTGCAACTCTTTTCAAGGCCCAATAGAGTAATAATGTATAAATATTATGTGAAATGGGAAATAGAAGTAGGTTCAAAATTCTAGTGTGTTTGTATGTTAAAGATACAATTCTTGTGGTAAAGAAGCGTTTTTTTGTTAGAATGATTAGAATTAGCTATTTATACTTTTTTTTAAACTGTTTTTTATTAGATGCGTAGTGTAACTTAGTTTTTAATACTAACTCAGAGGCGATTGCAGGCGTATGAGTAAAAAGTATAAAATAAAATACAATTAAAAGTGATAACAGTTCATATAAAATAAAAGGAGGAGAGAAAAAAAAAGGTTATATTACATTTTTTAACTTTTTGCATTTTCAAACCAGCAGTAAATTTAGGCCGCAATACCTCAACTGTTTCAAAGAAATGTTTAAAATACCAATACAATAGCTGTCGACATTTCGATCAAGCATTTTACTGACTTTGATAGTCTTGCCGCCCAAGGCAAAATAATTACACAAGACCTCTGAGTGTGTCGCAGTTGATGCAAAGTTGATTTCAATATAGTTATCGTTTTTTCCAATGTGTCGCTGGCGAAGTCTAATGCCAGCTGAAAATTGTTCCTGAAGAATAACATTTAAACTTTTTGCTTTAAAATTAGTTCTAACAAATTGAGATGTTGAAATGATAATGGAGTAAGGATCAATGCCCTCCAAGAAAACAGCATCACTGGTATTGGTAGGTAGATCGAAAGCTTCGCTTTTTTGTTGCTTCAAGGTTTGAGTACATGCTTTATGTTTAAATGGAGCGTTGTTGGGATTGTGGCAGGAGTCAGTGATCTCACAAGGGTTGTCACTGGTTACGTTACAAATAGGGCATTTATTAATAGCGGAAAGAGCCATGTTCTTGACCAAATAGATGAACGAAAGGACACATAAGCACTGTCAGCCAGATTTCTGTTCCTGAGTTGATTTGCCATGTCTTGTAAAAGACAAACATGGACCTCATCATCTCTTTTCCATTCAGATTTCCGTGAGTATCCTATAATATGATTATCATAAGGTAGGTATATCGACATGTTTGATGAGATAACCATTATAATAATTCGGATACAGTTGATCCAATAAATTATGTCGTCCGGGCCGAACAAAATGTCGCCCAATCAGAAATAGAAGGCCGCTCTCACAGGAGCAAAATGTCGTCCAATCAGAAATAAGTTTTCGCTGCCATAGGAATAAAATGTCGCCTCTTAGTTTTTCTGAGAAAGCTTTTGATTACTTTTTTCTTATAATATCTATTGTAGCCTTACGAGATGAAAAACTCTTTTTTTATGAAGATGGATCAACTGTATAAAGAAAATAAAAAGAACTTGCTTCTAAAAGAAAGCATGAAATTGCTTTTAAATCTCAGCCAAAAAGTGTTCAAAGGATAACTCTTTGCTATACCTTATATCTACTCGATGGAAATTTATAGCTTGACTTATCCTACAATCGCTTAGAATGATGCACATTACAACTGTAGCAATCAAACAGATGTAGGTAGTACAACCATATCCGTCCATTTTCGGCACTTCCTCGAAATTTAACATATATCAAGGACATGGGCTATCGATTATTGAACTTGTGAACACGGACATACATCTGTCTTATTGAAAAAAGGAAATTCTTAACTCGTAGGCTAATGTATTGGAATCTTTGGTTTTTCAAATGGTAGTTGCTTGCGTAGCTGGGCCAGGGACTGAACTGGTTCAACAAAATCCTCTAAGAGTAAGAAGATGTGATCCTAATTCTACACTTTTTACACTTGTTAAAAAAGAATTCTTTTCATTATATTTACCTATGAGAAAGAGGAATCATAGTCATATTCCATTCTCTCAGTCTCTCTCTCACTGAGATAATGAGTATCCAATAGAATCGTTTTTTAATTTAAGAATTACTCTTTCTCCCTTTCACTGAATATTCTTCACTTCAATATGGTCCGTCAGATTTCAAAAGCAATTTTAGTTGCTTCCGGTGTAATAACTGGATTAGCAACTATAGCTATTATATCTTACTTTAGACAATCTCATGAACGACAAGAGAACTCAAATAGACTAAGACGCTCACGACATATGCGAAGAAGACGAAACAATACAGAAGAAGCGGGTAAACCTCTGTCATTGTTTAAGGAATGGGGCGACGATGACAATAGGAATCTACTGAACCTTTTACATGCTATTTCAGAAAACCAATCCCGAAAAGGTAAGAGATGCATGATACACATATCTATCAAATTCACACTGGTACCTCTATTTTTGAGTGTAGAAGGATACATACATCGTAAGTAATTGACACACGTGTATTTTGGACGAATCTAATCTTTTATTGAGGTGGAATTACTTGCAATAAATGCAGCGTATCGCCCATTCGAGGGACACGGTACAAGTGCGCTAATTGTGTCGACTTTGATTTATGCGAAATGTGTGAAGGATCTAATAGTCATATCAATACCCACGTCTTTCTAAAGATTCGAATACCCATTCCACCATTAGCTAATCCACGAAGTGCACTATTACCATCCTTTTATCCTGGTAAACTTCACAGCAAGGCTCCGTTATCTTTGGAAAAATACAAAGAGCTACAGAATTCATCACACTGTAAGACTACGAACATATTGGTGTATTATATAATTAACTGATACACATTTGTGGATATAGTTGATCAAATAGAATTAGAAGCACTATATGAACAATTCAAGACCCTTTCTACAGTGGATACAGAAGAAGGAGGAATCGACCGAGAGACATTTGAACAGTGCCTTGGTCCTTTAGGATTAGAAAAGAATTTGATCACAGAAAGGATATTTGCTTTCTTCGATCAAGACAGTGATGGAATTATTAGTTTTCCTGAAATTGTGCATGGCCTAAGTATACTCTGTAAAGGAAATTTAGATGAAAAGATTGAATGTAAGAAGGAAAACAAGAGGAGGAGTAAGTGATGCTGATCATTCTCTATAGATGCCTTCAAAGGCTACGACTTGGATAATGATGGATATATATCCAGAGATGAACTTTATAGAATGTACAAATCTTACTTTTATTTATCGATGGAGCTTGTCCGAGATGTAGTAAGCGCAATGGAAGATGAAATGATGGATTCTTTTGAATTTTCAGCGTCACAACCAGTAAGCGCTGCATTCAATGTAGCCATGCCTTCTACCTCTTCAGACAGACAGCAGAGTGAGAGTGAAAATGATGGGTCTATTGATGATAATGAAGCTGGACCTTCAACCAAAAAGAGAAAGTATCCCTTAAAAGAAGATCACTTTCTAAGACAGTACGCACTTGAGGCAGAACAAGCTAGAGTGATTGCTAATGCATCTGAGGCACAAGTAGATGATATGACAGCAGATGCTCTTCGCACGGATAGTCAAAAATTACTTTTATCAAAAGACGATCTAAAAAGCAAACAAAAGAATGGAAAGAAGGTGTGGGAAGAGAAGTTCCCAATCATGGAGACAATGACACAAGGAGCCATTAATGAAATGGTTGATAAGACATTCAAAAGCATCAAGACAGAAAGAGATGGCTATATTAACTTTGAAGAATTTAAACAGTGCGTTCAAACTGATTCAAGTATTGTGAGCTGGTTTGAAGCATTGGGTACAGTCTTTTAGAATAAATGGATCTTTTAGCGAATACCACATGATCCTATAGGATATATAAGAAACTGTTGACTCTTCTTTACTCTTCCTGAAGCTCTATATTCTATCATATAGCCATTTTATAGTCAGACGCTTTGATCTATAAAGGTGTAAATGCTCTTTAAATAAACAAAGGACACATGATCAACTAACTAAGGATACACGGACGCTTTTTTATATATGAATGTAAAAAAAAGAAGATATCATCTTCACATCTTAAAACGATGTACATTTCCGATAGTATTATCTACGGAAAGTATATAATTATGTATATTATAGTCAAGTAATACTTTACAGCCCAATATAACATTCTTTAAAAACTCATAAGAAACATTTTAATAATCAAAAAATCAGCCACGAAAAAATCATAATGGCCAAGTCCTTACTTCTGTTTTTTATCCTTGGGAGCTCTGTAGATCGCCAAGGTATAGGGTGCTTAGTCTTATCAACCGACTGTTTGCCTTGACACTGCTCCCGTTGATCCGCGACAACTTTGCGAGCCAAGTTTGCCGCATATGATGAAGTATATTTACGGATAACTCGTGACACCAGAAGAGCAACTTTGTGGACAGAGCCGGCGATTCAGAAGTGACAACGGCTAAATCTTCTTGATAAGATTGTGAATACCGATGTAGTCCGCTATTGATTCCAGCTCATTCAACATGAAAGGAAAGATCAAATAAAGCGACCTAAAAATCATTCAGAATAACAATAACTTCTTTTATTTTGTTTGACTTACAAAATTCGCATGTCACTGGCGTTACCTTGGTGCTTTTCCAAGTGGCAGAACATCTTCCAGATCTTCTTTAGTTCGGAAACGACGTCGAACTCCTTAAGTACCCACTAAAAGGCAAGAAGACGTTAGTGAAAAGAGAAAAATAAAGTTATCTAGCTTAGAGTCACTAGACACGATAGTCAAGCCTGGGTGTTTTCCATTGTATGCAGCGTGTTCCTCTGCTCATGGTAAGTGCCGCTGCAAAAAGGGCCGCTCAATTCTGGACCTGACTTCTTGTATTTGGATTAAAACATTAGAGTCAACAGACAACATTTAGTAGTAGGGTGAAAGAAAAAAACAACTAATAAATGAGGATACGACGTGAATGTTATATTGAGAAGCGACGGCTACAAATATTCGAAGTTGTCTATAGGATAAAACTCAATAAATAGATGCATGATCAATGTAAACACGATAGATCGGTCAGTGTATTTGTGAGCTAATAATAAATACACCCAGGGCACTTCTTTATGAAGCTTCATATCCCCTTTGTAACAGTACCTTAAGTCTAGAAATGCCTCTGCATACAATAAGATATGACACCATGCAATATAATACCATACAGTTATCAAAGAGAAAAAGAAATGACCTAGATACTATTCAAAAGAGAAAAAGGGTCTGTCAGGAAGATACAGTCTCTTGGTCTGGCTTAAAGTCGGATTGCACCTTTATTGATGACACTAGCTTCAATGACAATGTGATTCAAGGACGAATGTGGCCAAAGAAAGGAGAAAACTACATCAGTGGCAACTAAGATAGCATAGGTCTACAGTATGATTCTCCCAGTTACATCTTATCAAGGAACAAAGAGCGTGAATCAAAGATTGCCAGAGACGGCACTACTAGTAAAACTCTCAAGATGTTTTCAAGAAAAATTGCAGATATGCTTAACAGAACGGACACTGCAGATCATTTGTTCATTTTTGATATGTTTAAGTGAAGAAACCGTTCTTTACGACGACCTTTTAAACTACTCTTTTGAGTGGCCTAAACTGGGAAATATGTGACAGTTTGATACCAGAAAGTTGATAGGCTTGATACTGAGACTGGCGCTGCTTTACATAACATTCATTGACTTTATTTTCTCTTAGCGCAGAATCTTTGGATAGGAAAAAGGCAGTTGTTCATTTTCTGTTTTTCAGTGTAGTAATTGAGGTGGAGCTAAGGCTTTTTTTTTTTGGAAAAAATAAACTCAGAGACCAAATGGGTGTAACATTCAAGGGAAAGACACAAGTTAATTAGGTCTCCTATATTTTTCACTCGACTTAATGTGTACTTCTTTCCTTTTTCTTTTTTCTATTTTTCTATTTACCCAATCCTCTCCTTTGAAAATACCTCTGAATGGACTCTTTAAAAACATCCAGCAAGCCAACCATAGCATCCAGAAGACAATTCATGGCCACTCAGCGGCCCCTTTCGGTATTATCCATCAATACGAGCCACAGTGACATTACTCGAAGAAACAGCGCATCCTTAATTCATCGCCCAAATTCAACTGTACACAGCATGAGCCATGAGGAACTGACATCCAAGATTGCAGATAGTTTCCAAGAGTTTTCAAACATGCTTTCACAGTTATCATCATGCAAGTCAAACATTGCTCCGTCGCCAATGACTCCTCCTCTCGTTCCACCTGTGGCTCATCCCAAGAGTGCCCCACGAAAGCAAGTATGTAACCATGCGGAACCACCTTTGTCTCCGCCTACCACTATCATTGGTCAGAATCAAAGCAAGGGCCAACTCAAGGGTAAAGTGAGAGCGAAAGAAACGCTGCGAAAAGAAGAGAATGACAGTAATAAAAGCAATAATGGTAACAACAACATCGTCAGTAGCAATAGTAGCAGTAGTACTAGCGGTATCGGAAGTCATAATAACAATAATGAAGACCCGACATGCTTTGAAAAGGTGAATGTACTATTATTAAATGGAATGCATAATGTAGAAAGCGAGCAACCGTGTCATGTTATTGCCAAGTGTTTAACCATTGCTAGCAGCAACGGACGGGCAGATATACTTGAAAAGATGCTTGAACGCAACGTCGACTTAAACTGCACAGACAATGAAACATCCGGCATCACTCCGCTCATGTATGCAGCCTATTTTGGAAGAATTAATTGCCTACATCTGTTGCTGCAGCACTCCTCGATCGAGGTGAATAAACAGGATAAGAGTAATACAAGAGCCCTACTTTTAAAAAAGCGAAACACTGAATGAAGCTTTCCATTTTTAGACGGCTGGACTGCCCTGACGTGGGCTGTAAGCGGAAGCCAAGCTGAAGCTGTACAGCTGCTATTACAACACGGTGCAAAGGCAATAAAGACAAAAAGTGGGAGGTCGCTCTTGGAGTTCCCAACCTGTGAGGCTATAAAAGACCTCATTGGTTCTCCGCCTCCTGCAGCCAAGATCACTGAACATCCTCCGATTGAGCAGAAGAAAGTCGACAATCAAGCAGAATCGACAGAGATAGACCTTTATTACCAAACACCTGTTGATGGTTACAATCATTTCGCAAACTTTTCGCCCAAGCTATCCAGTCAAGAAAAGGACATAGATGTGATTCAAGACAACGATGGGTGGGAGTCATCCGTGCTTAAATCAACAGTGACATTCGACTGGAGTCGCTGCTTACCTGACCAGATGCTTGTTTTCACTGGTGCCCAGGTACCTTTGATTATGGACCAAGTCTTTGGTGTCACAAGTGATACCATCCGGTCCCTTTCTCGTCAACACTCACTCAGCAACGAACTATGGGCACCTGCCAACACGTTGTTTTTATGCGCCCGGTTTGCGCATTACTGCTCCAGTCGTGAGTTGCTCTCCTCACTTTTGGATGCGGCGACAAACAGATTGTCAAAGGTGACAAAGGTAAAAATAGGACAGGAAAGCCCCCTTGCTTATAGTAGACTCATACACTGTATATATATAGAGTGCAAGTCGCGATACCCACAGCCTGTGTTTCTGGATAGCCAATACCTGTCAACTTGTCAGCTATTTGAAGAAAGACACGGGTCTGTCCATCGTCACAGAGGACACTCAAGAAGTATTTTCCAAGTCCATTGCTGAGGCATATACCCTCTTTGTAACAGAATCTCAAAAGATGATGGAAAAGATGCTTGTGCCTACACTGATGGAATATGATCCTATTCAAGAATACGTTGAATACGCTGACGACTGGCAGAGATTTTTCTTTCGAAGGAATAGCAGCAGCACAATCACTGTAGAGCCTACGAATCAAGCATCCCCTCAGACCATGACACATCTACTAGGCCACCTGCAATACGTACTTCAATCGTACCACGTTCCAGCTGCTATTGTCATTCAAGCCATGGCACAGTTCTTTTATTATCTATCTTGCGAACTGTTTAATCGAATATTAAGTAATCGAAAGTACCTCTGTCGCTCAAAGGCGCTTCAAATACGACTCAATCTGTCCACGCTGGAAGAATGGGTGAGGGATCATAAGCTGCCATCAAGTTTGAACCATGCTTTTGATCCTGTCGTGCAGCTTTTGCAGCTACTGCAGTGCTTGACACAGATGACAGATATAGAAACATTCACATCAACAGTAAGTACATTTGACAAACTCAACCCCTTGCAAGTCAAAAGGTGTGTGCAAAAGTACCGGTACGAGGTCAATGAACCTAAACTCCCAGAGTGTATTGAGCAACTTGCGGTTCAGATGGCTGCTTCCTTGCCAGAGAACAAGAGCAGAAGAAGTTTAAACCTGAGTGATAGTAAGCGGTCAAGTATATCAAGTTTAAACTCTCTCATCACACCCAAGAGCAAGAGAGCTTCTATATCAGAGCTGGAAGATGACGATCTGGATGCTGACGAGGAAGAAGGTGAGACACGGAATTCAAAGTACCTCTTGCCGTTTTCTGTCTTTAGTACAACCGCATTATTGCAGAATTGGACAGAAGAAAAACAGAAACGGTTGGTGCATCATAGTTATTCAGAGGCAATTTATCGAGAAATCAAGCTGAAAAAATTGGAGACGCTTGACTTGCTGGATAAAATAATGCCTTCGCTTCCTGATGAATGGTTATCGAGTCTTGATAGAAAGCTACGTAGAATGTCAGCAAAGTAAACGTATGTGTGTGTTTTTATAGTGTAAATTTTTCTTTGTATTTGTAAAACTATGTATGTGTATACAAATCGAGCTTTGTATTGTCTGATATACAACAACAACTTCAACATAAACTGTGATCAATAAATAAAATCATGACGCTGTTTATTAATCATTCAATGTCATCATAATTGTGATAACTACTCTCTTCCAGTTTAAGGCCCATTGCTGCTACAATATCCTGTGCCTTGTAGATATTACTCAAGTATTCTATATCATTTTGTCCATTGATGCCTCGAATTTTTTGATTCTTGCTAATGATATATTCTAGATCATATAAACGTGAAGATGGGGAATAGGAGGATGCTCTTTTAGGCTCAGTCACTCTTGACGTCAAAAATGGTTTTGCTTTAGGTGTCACAATTTTGGCTGTTGTGTCGATACCTGAGACGGCAAGCACAGGTAAATAAGGATGTGCCTGGAGTCACGTATTAATTTTAAAGCTAATTATTATTTTTTATACTGTTACCTTGGCCACATTCACTACTTCATCATCTGCTTTCAACACTTGTACAATCTTTGCAGTCTTTTTATCCCATATGAATAATAATCCATCGTCGCTTCCAGATACGATGTATTCATCGGATTGTCCGAAAAAGTCAACCTCTTTCACGGTCTATAAATATAAAGTGTCAAAGAAGATGTATTTCATATTAGTTTTTGGTCCTACTTCTATATTACGATGACCCGTGAATTTCTTTCTGTGCGGAACAATACTAGCCTCTGGGTAAATATTCTTGTCTGTGTTTCCTGCACCAAGATCCAAATCATCCGGAAAGAAGTGGTTAAGAATAAATCCATGAATGGCCAATCGATGTATAGCAAATTCCGAAGAATCAGCTTCCAAGATATCATCATCTGTTAAATCATAGTCACTGTATATATTTATCGTCTCATCGTCGTTTTGCTCATCATCGCTTGAAGAATCATCATCACTGTCATCTTCATCTGTCGTGCCATGAGCATTATCATCATCATCAACGATCATTCGCGTATCATCTTCATAGTCGTCTTTTTTGTATACTGACAAATCAATGTCAGCGTCTATTACCATATACCGTAAATACTCCCAATGAATCTCCACAGGATCGCTCATGCTGGTTAAGCTTCCTGCTGTTCGACACATTTCGAGTATTTCATGACGAAATGAATTGAGCCAGCTTGAGCATTCTATCTCACGTACCATCGTGAACGCAAGGTCTTTCCTACTAGCATAGTCACTTAATCCTAGTGCAGAGAAAGTGCGACATGCCCTTTGATGGATCAGTCTTGCTTGATGCAGGAATAGTCTTCGATGAGGACAATTTTGGAAGGAGAGCAAGAGACAACCTGCATAAAAATATCCTATAGCTAAACCAAATTGGCCTTTCCATGTGTGTGAGGCAATACGCTTTGCCTGTGCTAGTTCTTCTTTTGCCAATAAAAAGTCGCGATTGGTAAAATCTTCAAGGGTTCTATTCGTAAACGCAACGGTCGATACATCGTCCCTTATGACATGGTCGGGTGAATTGTCTATCAATTTTCTTATACGCGTTAATGCCGAAATCATCAATGCACTCACTTCGACTAGCTTGCACTCCTCTATTAACTTGTCCTTGTACGGCACTTTTTCGCTAGTGCAATTTGAAAGCTGTAGATGATCTCGTACGGCGTGATGTAGTAGCTTTTTACTTGACTTGATCGTCTCTGTATATGGCTTTGTTTTGAACGTGTTTAATAAACTGTTCCATTCTGTACTTCTCATTCTTCTTCTTCGTTCATATTCATCCATAAACTGTCTTGATGTTCTCAGCATAGTGCGACTTCTCAGATTACGTGGTTCAATCAAAGATTCAAATGTTGAGTTTCTGGATAAAGGTTCCAGCGGCGAATCATTGATATTGAATAGATAAACCCCATCAGATGACCAACTTCCTAATAACTGTAAAATAAAAAAAAAAGTAAATATGGGGACTCATACAATAGATCCAATCTATATATATACTTCATAACCATTATAATCGCTAAACCGGACAGCAGTAACATGTTTCCCTTTCCTTCTAAAGATATCAGACGTTGATGTAAATTTCTTGACGCATTCTACTGTTGGTGCATCAGTTCTGGAGGGCATTCTTCTATCATGAAGATAAATATATTCGTTTTGACCAGCAACTGCAAAATAATGTGGGTTCAATTGGTTAATCGAAATGGTATTTAGATCCAGTTTGTATTTTCGATAATCAACGAGTGGCTTTGGACAGCCACGGGAAACACCCGGGCCATGGGGTCTTGGTATCTGTCTCGTTGGTACTCTCTGCGCTGTCATAAACGAACGAACACTGTGATTTGAACAGATGTGAGGTTCACGAAGGTCAAAGTGTCTTACTGTGCCTATAATAGAAAAAAAGCAATCAGATCTCTATGGATATAAGGTTTAATCTTTGGATTACCATCTTGAGAACAAGTTAGAAATTCATTGGGGTTATTCTTAAAGATAGCCAATCGTCGAACTTGATCTTCGTGACATACATACATATTCGTTAAAGGAGCTTCTTTGGCACAATCAAATATCCTCACTTCTGAATCGCCTGCTCCGGATATGATGATACGATCTGATGTATTCGGCATAAAGTAAGCGGAGAATATGTTTGCGGAGTGACCTGCGTATAGAATAAGTAGAGATGCTACGAAATAAAAAGTGTGTAAATATTACCAGATTGAATAGAACATTGAAGAGAAAAGTTATTGTAAGCATTATAAATGTTCAATCTGGTATCATCTGAACCAGATAATAGAAACTCGCCAGAAGAAGACCAACTAGAGAAAGTTAGACATCATTCATAGAAACAAATGATCACTTTACTCTAGAGTATTTATGCATCCTGCGTGCCCTTCCAATGTTTTCTCTATTGTTAATTGTGACATGACAGAGTTATCACTGTATGCGCTATTGGCTGATGTCATCATATTAACAATGCATTATAAATATAAAGTCAATATATTCTTACTTAATCTTCTCTTATATCTGTTCATCAACGCTGTGTTTCCTCCACTGCATCTTCTTTCTCTTAGATTTTGGTATAAGCTATCCTTCATTTTATTTAGTTGTCTTCAATAAATTTATAAAAAAAAAAGAAAGAGAAAGAAAAGAGAGAATAAAAAAAAACGTAAGAGAAGGAAAAAAGTATTGGCTTTCGGTTCTTTTTTTTTTTATGTAAGGAGACAAAGCTAGAAGTTTATTGTGTGACGATCAAGTCAAGTCACTGATATGATTTTGGGTTTTAGACATGACTGATTCTGTTATGCTTGCTCTTTATGACAAAAGGACAGAGAAACTGTCCTGAGAGAGGCTCACCATCAAAAGCTAATATCTTTAATGTATAAGAAGCGGAACCAAAGATAGCCAATGATGGGCCACAATCAACAAAGCAAGAAAGTCCAAGTTAAATATTGATTGATAAAGTGTGATTAGGAGTATATATTTGAATGAATTAATATGACACCAGGAATATCGTAAAAGATCCATTTAGTTGAAGATGAAGAACAATGTGACGGCTGTGCGGACGGGTTGCACAAAGAACTTCATTATCGCTTAATAGCAAATACGCGATTTGAACTGGGGAGTCAGTAGGTTCAAAAGATTGTAAAAGCTAAAGTAGCCTAAGACATATAAAAGTCAGGTGAAAAAAAAAAAAGTTGCGAGACTAACCAACTACACTCTGCAGGAATGAAAGGTCGCAAAAGGAAAATAGACAGGAGAATCTTGTTTTCACGGATCAGTAAAAAAGAGAAAAGAGAAATGCTGTTATGACGATGGCTTATAGTGTGTTCATCGTTTTTGATGCTGTTATCAAGGTGTGTGTGTGTGGTAAGTGGTAAAAGAGTCCCATTGACTGCTTTGGCATATAAGCTGAGAATTAAATAACTGCGGTTAAAACTTTATCGTTCGAGGCCTATGAAGGTATTCATCAAATGGAGCAATAGAGCGAATCAGACAGAGTAAGATGGATGTGTCCAAGGTCGCTATTAGAAAATTTGACATGTTGGCGGATAGTTACAGGAAATCAAATGGCTGTAGGACAGCATTCAAAGTCACGCTTTATGCAGCCTAATGGCTTTACCATGAGTGATATCAAAGTAAGCAAGACATGAAATTATTCTATAATAAAAAAAGAGAAAAAAGTACAGATTGTGAAAGTCTTGCTGCTATTATTATTATTATTATTATTATTAGAAATAAATGCCTAAATATGCAATCTTCTTAATCTTTGTTATAATGAAAAGGTAGAAATCATACGAGTATGACAACATAAAGAGAGTAACAATATGCCTTTTAACAAATGTCTCTTTGTCCAGGTTAGCTCAAATAAAACAGTTGGATTAAAGGAAGAAAGAGAGTACTTTTTTTTATCACAGCCAGAAAAAAAAAAAAGAGAGGAATTCAAAAAGCCGATCAAAGCCAGCCTTTTTTTTTTTTCTCTTTTCTTTAGTCTCAAGCAAAATGCCAAAATACTATTGTGGTAAGTTCAAGTTGAATATTAACCTACTTGTTTTAACCTTTTCTTTCTTTCTTTCTCTTTCTTAATAGAATATTGCGACATTTTCTTGACTCACGACAGCTGTAGAGTATATATACATTATGTTTAATTGACACTTGAATTAATTTGTACATGTTAGCATCTGTCAGAAAAGCACATAATGCAGGAAAAAACCACATTTTAAACGTTAGAAACTATTATGCTGGTATTATCAATATAACCACTCTTTGATACACCCATACGATTAATATATATTATAGAGATCAGTCAGGATAAAGCACAGGCTATTATTGATGAGATCACTAGAGCTTATGAAAACGCATCAGCAGGTAGATAAAAAAAAGAATAACAAAAGAAATTGTAGATTACTCACAAAACAATAGTATTGCCCCCTCAATATGCTGGATATCCTCAATATGGAACACCATGTAAGATACAAAAGGATGAAGTGTGTTTTGATCAATATGTAACTAATATGTATATAGTTGGACCACCTGGACTTATTAATAGACCACCTCCACCTCATATGATGCCTAGACCTGGATTCCCTTTCCCGCCTCCACCAGGGCAATTTATGCCACCACCACCCGGGTTCCGTCCTCCTCCAGGTAAATAAAAGAGGATTACGCGTTCTTTAGCCGTTATTGATCCCATATGTATAGGTCAAAGACCTCCCGGTCCACCTCCACCTGGTATGTTTCCAAATGGTATGCCACCACCTCCACCTGGCTTCTATCCTCCTGGACAAGCACCATTACCACCTCCAGGGCAACAGCAACATCAACAACATCAATTACCTCCAGCATCGACAACTTGATGATAATAAAGTGCATTTGATTTTCCCTTTTATTTTAATCCACGTGTCCGTTCTAATCTGAGGCAGAAAAAAAATAACAGTTTCTACACTTTTCTTTTTTTTTCTTTTTTTCTCTCCTTTGAGTATCAAAATGGGGTCATTCTTTTCAAAAGAAAAGGTAAAAATATACTTAAACACAATAAAGAGAGAATAGGAGTTGTTAAAGTGCTTATAGACAGATTCCAAGGATTATGAAAAAATCCTGTCTGAACTAGACAATAAAATTCAGAAAGCAGAATCAAGACTGTCAGAGATTAAAATACGACAGAGAAGGACAAGCTTCATGTGGATAATCTATTCACTCATCATTTGGGTGTTTTGTCTTGTTTATCTGTTTAGACGAGTGAATGATCCATTTAATAGCGCTGAAGACTATTTGATACCATCCTTACCTGTTGTCTTGTTACCTTTAGGCATCTATTATATTCGAAGAGGCTTGATTTATTTTTATGATATGAAGCAAAAGAAAGAAGAAGCAAACTTGTCAGTCCTTCGAAAAGAACAAAAAGAAAAGATTGAAGAACTCAAAAAGAAGACATCCTATTATACAACACAATCCTTAATAGAACGTTATGACGAAGTATCAAAAAAAAAGAAGATTGAGGCTACGAAAGAAAGTGGACAAGATTTACGTCAGAGAAAGCCAGGTATATACACTTTATGCATATATGCAAAGATCTTTGTTCTCATGATCTTTACTATAGTCTCTATGCCTGTCAACAGACCTATTCCTCCCCTTCAACAACAACAACAACAACAGCAACAGCAACCACAACCATATCCTCGTGCTCCTATTCCACAACAAGCTATGCAGAACTATAGTAACCAACAAAGACTTGCTCAACCTAATATTTCTCAACAGTCAAGGGTCGAGCCTCGATGGTATGATAAGTTGGTAGATGCTCTAGTGGGTGATGCAGGCCCAGAGACAAAATATGCCTTAATCTGCAACCACTGCTTTGCTCACAATGGTCTAGTCTTGCAAGAAGAATATGATACGATTCGTAAGCATTTTTCTGATACGCATATGGGTAAAGTATACTGATTATATAATAGAATATGTTTGTCCCGTCTGTAAGCAATTCAATCCTTCACGCAAGTCAAAGCAAGTCATACCCAAAAGCATCTTGGAAGAAAACGATACAGACGAAAAAGAACACAAGCCGAGTGAAAAAGAGATTGAGGATGTTATTAAACAACTTAAAAAGGAGGTTGAAGAAGATGAAAAGAAGGGATTAGATACGATTGCCTCTCGTGTGAGACACCGTCGTAGTGCGAACAGTGATGCTGATGTAACAGATAATGAGGATAAATAAAAGAATAAATATTCTCTTTTTTCTTTCTTTTATTGTTATTATTAATGACATTGAATAGACTTGTTTACTCCTAATTTGCCATTACCAAAGAAGTAATGACCAAAGCCTGCACCTAACACAGTGGCGATCATGAGATATCCATTATAGGTCATAAAGACCAACATCAGCCAAAAGCTAATTCCAACTAGAATAGCATAAATAGCTGATCGAGCCAATTCTCTCTTGTTTGATAGTCTACTTTGAATTGTTTAGTAAAAAAAAAAAATAATAATATAAAAAATACAATGCAACCTTGTATATTGCTGATAAGCATAGACCACATTCTCTTGTTCTTGTTCTTCTTCATTGGACTGACTATTACCATTTCTTTGAAACAGGGCAGATTGTTGCCAATTGCTTTCAAGAGCGGCGGCATAAGCACGTATCCATTCATAAAAGGCAGCAATAATGAAAACAGCAATGCAAGAGGTTAATAGACTCCATGGTCCTGAAATATGCCACCATTGGAATACAACACACGTATCTTCTACTTGCCAGTTAAACAGCATCTTTTGTTTTTTTATGCATGTGGTTAGCATTTAATTAAATGTAGATGAAGTAAGAAACTTACATTCATTTTACAAGTGGGGCCTGAAGGCATTTGATGTCCACCATGTCCTGAATGATCTTCCATTGTTTATTATTGAATGTTGAAGAAGGGAAAGAAAAAAACAAAATAAAAAAGTAATAAAAAATGAAAAAAACACTTTTTTATATATGAACGCTTCACGTCACTTTGTCAAGGCTTTATCCACTCGAATCCTCGATAATAGCAAAAAGGTCTCATGGTTCTCTCTCTCTTTTTGTCTTTCCCCCTTTCTTGTCATGGTGCCTTCCTCATACTTCTCTTTTTCTCTTTCTCTTTTTCATTTATTAACAATCAGAAAGATTTTATGATTGGCAGTTTACTTGCATGTGGTACATGTGTACTTTTTGTTTACTTTTTACAAGAAAGAAAAAGGCAAGGATCGTCTTCTCCCCCTTTAGAATGTATGTTGATTATAGTATACCAATGATTATTGTTATTTATTGAAAGTTAGTTCAAAATCGGAGAACTCTGTCTTTACCCATAATAAGTCTGCGGCTTTTGGTTATATCCTCCTTGATGGTACGCTTGTGGTGTGGGCGAATAGTTATCATAGGAAGGATGATAGGCATCATAGGCATTAGGTGACTGAGGTTGATAATCTACCTTGGCTTGATAATAAGGCTGATAGGCTGCATTATCATTAGGTTGGTTATGATACGAAGGATAATGAGGTGATGGAGGAGAGACAGCTTGTCCATAGTTATTGTAACTTTCGTGCTTGACAAATGTATCATTTGCTTTGGTTGCGCTAGTGTAATCGTATGTTGAATCCCTTTGTCGATTTTTATGAGTAAATAAGCTGACAAGGAAGCAAATAAAAGTCAGTATGTTGCATGCGATACCGACGCCAACCATATAGATGGCTGGACCCCATTGATGAGATACAGCTTGAACTTGCTTTTCTGTGTCAGCAAGCCCTATCCAAAATGCAGCGATAGTAATAGCTAAACCAGCAGCTCCAGTAAAGAAAGAAAGTAAACTTGCAAAGGATCCAATAAATGGAATAAGATTGTTTTGTCGATGCTTACGAATGACTAAAGTGCCTAATAATATATAATTAAAAGATCTAATCTTATTTCATAGTTGTCCTATCCATGAATATTTACAAAAGAAGGCAACAAAGGAAAGTATGACGGCTGGCATGATCAATATGATACACTTGAACAGTGTCATATTCGTGTTTGATACAGCATTCGAATAGTTAGAGAGTGCCGTCGTGGTATTAACATCATCAACGCCATTGGCTGCAAGAAATTGTCCTGCGTCTATAATAATATAGATGATAAATACATATTATTATTAAAATGGTCCAAATTAACTACCAAATGAGTAAGCTGGTGTCTTGGAAGTACAGGAGTGAGGTTGATCCATATTTTTGTAATAAAGGCATGAATTATAAACACCATATCTTATTGATCTGCCAGTCATTGATTGTTTAATTTCGACCAGATAGATCTTATTGAGAACAGATGTAGTAAAAGTGGTGCCAATATTGGCTAATAGCAATAGTACAAGTGAGCATACACTAGCTATAAATCCAATAAATCGTAAATCCATAAAGAAATAGAATTAAGAAGAAGAACAGGGGAAAAAAAGAAAAAGAATGAATCATTTATTGAGTGAGAATATTACTTGTATCACCTCAATGTGCCTGTACGACAATCGACGCCAATATCAAATCAACAAATTCACTCAGCAGTGACAACAGGTTGCCTCCTTCTTCTTCCTTGTACTCCTCGTCCATGATTCGGTGTCCATGGTCCCAAACTATCATTAGCATAGAAATCCATTGGGTAGACATCTTGCCAGTCTGCTTTACCTAGCGCAACAGATGCTTCATAAGGTGTAAGCAATGGTTTAGGGAACGCGTATCCCCAATCGATCGAGAGTCGAGGACAAGCAATTTGAATCCAACTATTTATATATTAATAAATCATATTTAAAAGGCAAGATTTGCTACTTACGCATCTACATCATCAAATTGTTCAAGTTTTCCAGGAAAGATCTCTGATAAAAGAACATTCACTGAGTCCTTGCCTTGGTCTTTAATCAGCTGTTCAAGGTATTCCAAGATTTGTGGCTTGCCCTGACGACCTAGTGTTCCCAGAATCAGACCATACTTTTTAGCCGTTTTAGCCGTTGTGATCGCGTGTTTACGAAGTGAGTGCATCTCTTGATGATCATATCTTTCACGAGTAAAGGTCTTTGCGTAAGGATTATATCTATTTAAATAGTCAGTTTTTTGATTTCAACATCTTTGATCTTTGTCTCTCTCTTTTACTGGAAGGCGGGTAAATCGGGATTATGAATCAAGATAGATTCTAGATGAAATCTTCCATCGCCAATACACACAATCGCATCCGTGTCGGTCAGTTTAGGAGATGTACAGCCCAAGATTTCGCCCGGCGAAAGTGGTTTGGATTGAGGAATGGTTACTGTGAAATCTTGTTCTAGAGATGTTTTGGATGCCTGCAGCGCAGCTGCAAATTGAATCGTGCCTACCAAGCATAGTCTTTTTCCTTTTTCGAAATTTCGCTTTACGGTATCAATAAAATGCTGTGTATCAATGCCAATATCTACAAATACGTAAAGTGTCTCTATGGTTGTAATATCTACAGGAACTAGGCAACTGTGGCCATAATGAACTAGAAAGTCGCAGCCGAGTGCACGAGCCGTATAATCATCAATACAACATGCTCCATAGGTGACATCGCCCATAATCAATGTCTCTGCGTTACAAAATCTAATAAAAAGCATACATCAATAGAGTGTTTCTCTATCTTTTCTTTTTTTCTTTTTACGTTTCCAAAATGTCTGAAATTAAACATGCAAACATCATCAATCCTTCTGGAAGCTGAAGTGCCACTATGAAAGGATAAGCTATTGTTGCTTTATTTTTTAAAAGTGTGCATATATATACCTCGCTTAGCATTAGCCTTTCGTACTCTCCATACCGTTTTATGAATTTCAAAATTATAGTTTGATGGAATCTATGCATACCTTCTTTAGAGAAAAGGAGGGAAACAACTACTCTATATGTGCAAATACCTGTTCAATAGCTTTGTTTAGTAAAGGATCTTGCAAGATTTCATCGGGAACTTGATTAGCAACACGATTCGATCGTGCTCTCGGAGCTTCTAAAGGAGAAATGCTGGTTTAATTAAAGATTGATCAACTCGAAAAACACTTTACTTGCAAATCCAACAGCTCCTTCTTCAATGGCCTCTGCATCGTTTGTTGCTTGATTTCTTTTAGCTTTGCCTACAAATCGCTTTCTAGGCTTTACTGTTGCTGACTTTTCTTCTACTGACATTTTCCTTCAAAGGGCGGGAACGGATAAAGAAAGGGAATAGATGCCGTCTCAGAATTGCATTATTAGACCGCCGGCCGTCTAAGCCACCGAGCAGACATTTTGCTCTCTATTTTTTATTTCAGTCAATGAAATGCAAAAAATGCTACAATGGCTATTATGAGGACAATATAAAATCATAAAGGCTATTGTTGACTCTAGCCTATATTGCATTGAAAGACAATAGACTTGCAACCATGTGCTTAATCATCATTTTACTGTCCTGTCAAAATACGATCTCCGCACAAGAAACCGCTGAATGCATTGAAAACTTATGTCGGACTTTCCCCTGTGTGTTGAACGGAGCTTGGGTTCCCTTTTTTGGGGGAACTTTGAGCTGTCCCCCTGGGCATGAAATCCAGAGGATGGCCTGACAAAAAACACATCTCTTTCTTCACCCCCCTCTCTACCTCTCTCACTTTCTCTATCTAGCTACAAGTCATATGCTTAGAACTGCCTTTCAACGTTCCTTATCGGGGCTTACCAAGCGCCCTTGGACGCCAATGACAAGGCCAATGTCAACACTCAAGATTCAACCTATGCGCAGACCATGTCTCGCAATGATACCAAAGAGCAACATTTTCAAAACCCAGCAAAGATTGATCCAAGTATCTGCAGTACAAACAGTAACAAAGCCCATTGTTGGATACTGGCTCTATTTTAATGCCGGTCTTATCTTTGCAATTGTCGTCGTCGGTGGATTGACACGATTGACCGAAAGTGGATTGTCCATCACGGAATGGAACGTTATTTCAGGTATGAAACCCCCTCGATCGGAACAGGAATGGGTAGAAGAATTTGAAAAGTACAAGCAGTTTCCAGAGTATAAACTGTAAAGTGTAATACCCAAAATAGACTTGCAAAGTAAGAAAGAATTAACGATATAATATAGTCTTAATCGCCACATGACATTGGACGAATTCAAAAACATTTTTTATTGGGAATGGTCTCATCGTATGATCGGCAGATTCATCGGCATGTCCTTTATTGTGCCTGGTTTATATTTTGCTTCAAAAGGGTACATGACAAAACGAGTCATGAAGCAGACATTTGGTATTTCATGCTTACTAGGTTTCCAGGTAAAGCAATGCATGAATGAATAGACATAAGGTCTGACCATGATTTTTTTAGGGCTTCATGGGTTGGTACATGGTCAAATCGGGACTGTCGGAAGCACTCATGAAGGAACCCGGAGCCGTACCTCGTGTGAGTCAATACCGATTGACGGCTCACTTGGCAACAGCGGTTGCTATCTACGGTAGCACCATCTTTGTTGCTGCAGATATTCTCCGTCAACACAAGATTGCCACGGGTCAGTACCCATCCTCAACCGCGTCCATGCTGAACAACCCTGTATTGAAGCGATTCCGTATCGCCTCTCACAGTTTGGGCGCTCTCATCCTGTTGACCTTGCTCTCCGGTGGTTTAGTAGCCGGTCTGGATGCAGGACTGATTTATAACGAATTCCCTTTTATGGGTGAAGGTCTTGTTCCCCCTAAATCGGAACTCTGGTCAGACTTTTACGTCAAACCCAACGATAAGGGCAAATGGCGCAATTTCCTCGAAAACCCTACGACTGTCCAATTCGATCACCGAACCTTGGCCGAGACTACAGCCACCCTCACGGCTGCTCTCTGGGCTTACTCTCGAAGACTGCCATTACCCAAGAACGCTCGATTGGCTGTGAATACGATGATGGGTGCTGTTGTGGTTCAGGTCACCCTTGGTATTTCTACCTTGATCTACATGGTTCCTATCGAATTGGCCGCTGCTCATCAAGCTGGTGCTCTTGCCCTAGTTACTTCTAACTTTTGGTTAATACATGCTTTACGCCGTGTTCCTTTATAAAACATATTTTATTATTAGAAGAAGATTATAGATATAAATAAATATATAAAAATGGGTTTCTCTAGATATTTTTCTTTAATAGTAGATTTTACAAGAAGCGAGCCAATTCGCTTGAGGCAATGCTTAAATCAGGTCTCTGAGTGTTTAAGGCACGGATGAGCTCGATCAAGTGGTTTCTAGTGCCTTCCTTTAATTGCTCATTATCAGAAAGAACTTGAGCAAAGATGTGAAGAAATTGTGGTAAATTGTTAAAGACCTAATTAATTAAGTTAGACTTTGCTTTTTTTTTTTTGAGTGATGAACTTACATATGCGTTGTTTGCGCCAAACAATTTAAAGATACATTCAAACACAGGCTGGTTTTCTTCATAATCAGCCTTCAAAGGTAAAGCATTTATGAATACAGGTAATACTTGGTCCAAGGGCACAGCTTCAGGATGAGCAATGATCATTCGAGCAACAGCACCTGCGGCATTATCTGTCGTGTTGGGTAAGGTTTGGTTATTAAACAAGGGAGAAAGAGCAGTTAACAAGGCAGGATAGTGTCTATCAACAAAAGAAAAATGAGTTAAAGCTTAAAGGAACACAACCAAACTTACGCGCTCAAGTCAACTTGGGTATGAATAGTCAAGCAGCCTAAAGCAAATGCAGCATTGCTACGGACAAGCTCATCTTCATCACTGCAAGCCTTGACAAAGACTTGTAAGAGACGTTCTGTATGAGGAGTAATAGCAGACTTGATGCCAACGATACATTCACCTAAACAGCCGACAGCCATGGCTCTTTCAGTCTGACTCTTGGTAGGCTTGTAGTACTTTAAGATGTAAGGTAAAAAGACCTCAAAGGAAGCAGTAAAGTTGGGCCCGACAGTTTCACACAAGGCAGCGACAAGGTCGCTAGCAGAACTGATGAGCATCGCTTCTGATTCCAAATCATCATCCTCCTCATCAAAATCACCTTCATCAAAGGCTTGTTGACAAAGAGACTTCTTTTGATAGATTTCTAACAAGTTGTTGCAAATATCCTCAAGACATTCGTTTACGACAATAGGTCCCATCAGGCGGAGAGCAGCAACAAACTCGAGGCAGATTTGAGCAGCAACAGAACGATCATCTTCTTCCTTCCACAGTTCGATGGTCATGGGCACAATTGAGTTAATCAACGTCTGGACATTTTCATGGACTGTGTATGAAGCAGGCACACCAGAAACCCAAGCAGTAGGATTAGACATGGTGTAAGCTGTCTTGAGGAAAGTAAACAAGCTCTGTGTAGCCGATTTACGAACGCCGTCAAACAAATGGCTCGAAAGCTTTTGCAACTCGGCCAAGGAGGTTTCGAGATAGGGCAAGAAGTGACTCTTGGTATTAGCAAACAGCTCTCCAAGGGCATCCACCGCAAATTCCTTTTCGTCCGCCAAAGGAGAATTGAAGCTAAAGTTTTCAAATTCGTCTTCCAACTCGTCATCGACACCACCTGTTGTCAAATCGATCTCTTCTTCGACAGCAGCCTCAGACTTTTCTTCGGCCTTACAGGTCGAAATGATTTCAGGAACGATCGTGGGTAAGAAAGGAGCGAATTCTTCACCAAACACACGGACGAGGTTTGAGAAGAGAGCAAAAGAGCATTCACGAAGACGTGCTGATTCGAGATGCAGCTGCTCGATAGCCAAGTTCATGATATCTTGGGTGTAGGGACGGAAAGCGTCAGCACCGACTGCTTCAGCAATTGAACCAGCGGCATCTGTGGCAACACTACGGAGCAAGTGATCATCTGCAGGTTCCTTTGTCGACATGAATTGAACAATACGTGGCAACACTTGCAAGAAGTAAGGATGGAAAGCTTCGCCTGCAGCATGAGCAGCGCTACCAATCGCAGCAATCACAGTGGCTCTTGTTTCGTTTTGATTGGCGTTATCCAGAAGGAATAAGAGTTTCTCCATCAACAGAGGAAGATATTGGATGATATCGGATCCTAAGCCGTCAAGAATGGCATCCAGAGCATTACATGCGTGCTTGGTTACTTCGGCATTGTTGTCGTTCATCAGATTAAATACGAGAGGAAGTAAGACTTGGTGGTGCTCGGATACATCTGAGGGCATCTCATCAGCAAGACAACCAAGAGCCATACAGGCAGCACGACGGACGATAATCTCTGGATCTTGAAGACTGCCACAAACCAAAGGAAGGAGCTCATTTAGTTTGGTGGAGATAATATCAGTACATCCTTCAACCGTCACAGCAAAGGCCATCATGGCAGCCTTACGGAATCGAGGATCAGGGTTTTGGACATAGCTCAAGACAAACGGCATAACAATAGGAAACACCTGTTGAGGAGGAATGTTGGTAGCCAAGGCATTCAGAACCTTGAAAGCAAGGCGTGAAGGAGAGTCTTCGTCAACGTCTTCAGGGTCCTCTTCAGTACCGATGGGCATTAACTTTTCAACAATATGACCAACCAACTTCATCTGTCTAATCTTGTGTTGTTTGTAAACGGCAGCCCACATCAAGAAGGATAGTGCCAAGACACGCATTTCATCATCCAGGGTGGTGTCGGATCCAACCGTCAAGAAGAAATCAATCAGATGCGCCAAATGCTCAAACAGTAAGGGGGCATCCAACATGAGCAAAGTGTCGAATACTTCAAATATTTTGCTTGCATTATCGGTATCACCGTCCTTGATACATTGCTCCAGCACATTAACCATGCTGGGGATAATAGCTCTAAACATCTTGATCGTAGACTTGTCTTCGCTATCAACAAATTCGGATAGTTTGCCGAGAACCAATACGGTGGTGATTCTAACTGACTTGCTTTCTTGATCAACAATCGTCTTGTTAAACAATTCAAAGAGTGAAGTAGTATTGTTCATGAAGAAATCGGCAATGACTTCAAATAAGGTATAAAGGCAGTACAAACCGATCTCACGGTGGGCAGGGCTCTGGCTGGAGCAGGACTGGTGCAAGAACTCGAGCAAGGCTGGCCATTTGTTATCTGGCATATCAATACCTGCCACAGTTGATATTACTCGAGCGATAGAATGACGAACGGAATCACTAGAGATAGATACTATTAGCCTTGTCTTTCTAAATCGTTATTTCTTTTTTTTTTTTACTTTTGTTCATTAAGAGCAATAGTCAAGAGTTGAGCACGCAAGTTGACCTTGACTGACTCTTGAATTTGAGACCACCATTTGTTAGTTCTCTTACGAAGCTCAACAGCAGCCAGTTGACGTACTTGAAAGTGAGGTGAACGAGCGACGACCTCGACAAGGGCAGGTACACAGTCAGCTGTAACATAGTACTGAGTGTTTAGTACTGAAGTAGCCTATTTTGTGTGGCGCACGCGCATATATTAGTTATTTATACAACTTTCATAAATATCACATACGTTTCTGATCGTTTCTGAGTCTTGTGCTTGAGCTAACTTGGTCAAAAGGTCGTCAAGACCAGCAAGAAATTGCTATTTAGCTTGTAAGTATCGAGTCTTGCTATTGTTCCTCTTATTTTACCTCCATTTTGAGTTTATATGAAAAAAGAGAGAGAAAGAAAAAAAAAAATTTTTGTGTTCTACATAAAAAATCCTTTGAAACTGTCACGTACACACAGACAGCGCGTATACATACACGCATATATACATACACACACGCACACACATACACACAGACGTGAACACTTATAAAAAAGGAAACCTCACAAACACACACAGATATACACATATAAAAGACAAAGTAATAAGATGCACAATTATTTTTTATATCACAAAACAATTGTAAATTTTCCCCCAATTCAATTCTTTTACTCCTGAGATCTGAGACGAGCACCAGCATTGATAACCTTGACGTTCAATTGAGCGGCACGTTCAAGGATAGCGACACGCTTCTTGGAAGAGACATTGTGAGCAATTTCGGCAGCATAAGTACGGTTGTGCATCAATAATAAGTTGAGTTCACGGACGTTGGAAACAGTGAACTTGCGGAAACCGTTAGGCAAGAGGTGACGAGTCTTCTTGGCAGAACCGTAACCGATCTTGGGCATAGGGGCAGTACCCTTGAAACGTCTACGCATGGCATTATCAATACCCTTGGGCTTTCTCCAAGATTCCTATACAACAGCTAAGTAAATAATTCAATTAAATTAAAAAATGTCAACTTACACCAACACGCATGAAGCGGTCAGATTGGTGGCGCTTGAAGTGAGCAGTACGCTTCTTGACGATGTTGTGCTTAACGGCAGGAGTGACCATTGTTATACTATAATGGGGATCATTTTTAGTTTTTCTCAATCTAATCCCTTTCTTATCCCCCCTTTCTCTCTCTCTCCCTCTCTTTTTTCTCTGTTGTTGCTTTTTTCAGATCTTTTTGATGTGTTATCCAGATAGATGTCCCACTAAAATCTAGGATGAAAGGGGGATGTGATGTGAACTTACCCTTAGAACTAATGGATGGATGCAAAGAGGAAGTTAATCCATTATTTTTCATCCCACTACTTTACCCACCCACTGCCCATTCACCGCACAGAGAGACACTGCTGAGTTTAAAATAAAAACTGTCAACAGGCAAAAAAAAACAGGCTGTAATAAAAAAGGAAGCCTTAATTTTCAGGAGACAAAGAAAAAAAGGCTTACTTACAGATAGAGAAAAAGATGGATAAAGAAAAAGATAGAAGGAGAGATAAGGTATAAGTATTATATGCTTAAACTTGTTTCTTTATTATGGAACTTTACATGAAAAAGGGATATTGTGATTTGAACCTGATATTAACTCATATTTTACTGGTGTAAGCATCTCTTCTTTATTTTAGTCATAAGCGGGAAGCCAATATTGTTTTTAATGATTTCAAAAAGGGGGGTGACACGCTAAAGGGGGACAAGGAGCGGATATAAAGTTGCACTCCTCTTGTACCCTTCTTCTTTCTTTTATTAAATTTTTTTTTGTTCTAAAATGAGTCAAAATACAGCCCCTACAACAAACGCAACAGCAAAGACGTTATCTTCATCAAAGACGTTTCCAAGGAGGATTCGGTCTGCTTCCGCACGTCTATTTTCATCTACAAAGTCAAATCCAACATTACATAAGCGTTATTCATGTTATTTTAATTCTGAATCAAATCAACAACATCTATCTATATTGAACCCATCAACGTGGTTCCCCAAGATACGCTGTCGGTCGTCATCATCATCATCTTCATTTTCACTTGTATATTCACCATCATCCGAGCATCATTCACCTAAACATCCATATTATTCAGAACCACATGCATCTAACTTGGAAAGTTTATCCTCGGAGCTTGAAGAGCTTTACAATAATGCTAAAATCGAGGTACGCGCGTAAACGTATACTGAGCTTATTTTTACTAAACTCTGTTTGATTATATATAGATTGATTTTGCTACGGAGTCTTTTGGATCTATTTATTATGAAGGTGACTACTCCACTGCACACTCTAGTTTTGAATCCTGCCTATCAAAATATCAATCAGCCATGCAAACTTTTGGTGACACTGCCAATTCAATAAAGTTCAGGTTCCGCTGGGAAACAGACATTCATCAACTCCGCCTTCGCCTCAACGCATTACCAGAAGTAACCCACTCCATCTACGATTAAATAGACAAAAAAGAACCAACCATCATGTTTATATATAAAGAAAGCATCAAAATAGTTAAAAAACATATACTTTAATAACTAGTATTTAATCATTCAATAAAATGCACTGCTTTTATTTCACGGACCTATTCCGATAATGATATGCAGCGATACAAGATGTGTAACAGTTTAATTAATCATCGTTTTACGGGATTAACAATGATCGCATCTATCACGGGAGTATATGTAAACAAAACATTACCATGCTTCCATGCCAAGTTGAGCTTCGCTTTTTTAATTTTCACTTGTCTGTCTCTTTCTCTCTATTTACGCTTTTAACGCCAACAAAGATTTCACGACGTAGTTACCTGAATATTAAAAGCACTTTTAAAGAAACATTCAAACTATACTCTCTCATCCTAACTCTGAAAAGGGATACGCGTAAGCATATCAATACACGTACAGTCCCATTCTTTTATTTTATACACTACTCAACTACACACACGCATACATATATATCATAATTGGAAAGACACCTTTTTACCTGTTTACTTTCTGTATGTTTGTTGCTGCATACCAAGCAAAGAAATTCAATCAAAACACTCAAAATGATGGGCTATCATTTGTTACCAAAAATAGTAATATTGGTCTTCCCCCCTTTTATGTTGGCTCCAGGGAATTAGGGAAAAAAAGGGCGCCTTACTATGTCTAAAGAGAAGCATTATAAACAGGTCTTAAAAGACATTCTTTTGATCAAGTCAAAGATCAAACACGATACAGAGTGCAGTAAAATTCATTTTATTCTCTATTTACATCATTTGATTCTTAAAATACATGCTTATGTTTTGTCTGGTCTCTCAATCACAGTTTCTAACTTGTCTCCCAACTTGATAAACGTATGACGCAACACACGAGTGTCAACTGCAAGTTTTTTTCCAAGCTCTTGAATTATTAAAGGATTGGCATCAAAGTGCATTGTCCAATATCTAACAATAAACAAAGTCAGATCTACTTTTGTAATGTAGGCACAATTTTTTACCTTCCATCTGTAAAGTACTCTTGATGTCTCTTGATTCTATGAGGAATCTTCATATCTCCCCAGTTTTCGAATCCTCGGACAACACCACCTCGGGTAATGACTTGCTTGGCTGATGTCTTTAAGAGATCTTTTAAATTGCTCTATACAATAATTAAAACATGAGCACGTCATTTCGTATAAAATTTCTTGCAACCTACTTCAACAATGTTGTGTCTGGCTATACAAACAAGTTCATAAAATGGCATGTTGAGTGATTCTTGAAAAAGATTTTATATTTATCACAGGCCCCCAATTTCAGTAAGGGGATCCTCTTTTGTCAAGTCACATTTTTGTCGGAATTTTTATTTATTTGTTGGTCAGCAATGGAATCAAGCAGCCCTCACTGATATTCATGCCTACCACCTTACTGACGTTGTGTTAAATAAAAAGGCAAGTAAAGGGGGGGACATATTTCACGTCTCTATCTCTCTCTCTTTCTTTTATACTTTTTTTTTAAAAAAAAAGATGATCTTTATTCTATTGTTCATGATGACACTTGTTCACTCCATTCTCTGTTTTCCTTTTGTCACGAGCCGCAATACCAAGAATTGTTCTATCAGTAATGAGTTTATTCACATCGATCAAGATTTAGATTTGGAGCAAGGTAGAAATCCAAATTTAACCAAACGGTCGGATTTTGGTAAGTTTATTTCTTGTTATCTTTCAATACACTCATGCTCTCTCTCTTTTAAAAGGTTACATCTATACCCTTAATTCATCTACAATTAGCCTAAGTGCAGACATTGACCTAGGATCCAATCTGGTTACCCAAGAACTTCTATCAAGCTCTGCTGTTGCTATTTTATCACACATCTCATACAACGAAACGAATTCTACTTTACTACTACAAGGATGGATCAGCCCCACGAACAGGTTTAAAATTCAACAGCTGGACAATATCGTGCATCTCGAACTACGCACCTACTCCTATGATGAAAAGAACCATCAATGGTTCAGCAAGTTCTTTAGTGATACCAGGATTACAGGTCGAATCCAACGCACCAATACTGATCAAACTCAGCAAGACAACTCCCAGCAACTTGTGTTAGAACTCACGCCTTATGATGCACCCAATGAGCATCTTCAGATCGTATCGTCTGCGTCCGGCGAAGGCCAGTGGATCGACTGGAACTCGTCCTGTAATTTTAGCCCTCAAAAACGGTCCGATCAGAGCATACAGGAAATCATGGACGCTGCCATCTTGCTTTAAATATCCCCTCACCTTACATTGAATAAAAACGGTCACATTTTTTTTTATAACCAAAGCCTCCAAAAAAATAAAAAAGTAAAAAAAAATGGCAGATAAAACTTTACCTTTTTTATATAATCTATATTTCACAACATGGGCAAAGGCGGATTTGGCGAACGTGGTGGACGAGGTGGAAGAGGCGGATTCCGTGGAGGTTAGAGATTGCTTGTGTTGCATTCATCAAGAGACTGACATTTTATTAGGCCGTGGAGGTGGTCGTGGAGGTTACGGAGGTTACGGAGGTGCCAGTCAAGGACCACCTGCTGAAGTTGTTCGTAAGTAATTCTTGCAAGAGAAAAAAAAACAAAGAACTAATCATACCTGTAGCTATGGGAACTTTTATGCATGCTTGCGAAGGCGAAATGGTCTGTAAGAGTATCAACCCCAAGGTTCCTTACTTCAATGCTCCCATCTACCTCGAAAACAAATCTCAGATCGGCAAAGTAGATGAAATTCTCGGTCCCATCAATGAAGTTTATTTCACTGTTAAAATGCAAGAAGGCATGATTGCCAAGTCTTTCAAACCCAATGACAAAGTGTATATCGGTACTGATAAACTCTTGCCTCTTGAACGTTTCTTACCCAAGCCCAAGGTTGCTGGAAAAGGTAAATTATAATATTTTATGTACGTGCTTTTTGTAACTCTTTTTTAGTTTCAAAACCCACCGGTAACCAAGGAAGAGTCGAAAAGAAGAGTACTCGTGGAGGTGCCACTCGAGGTGGCGGTCGTGGTGGATTCGGCCGTGGTGGATTCAGCCGTGATGGCGGTCGTGGTGGTGGCCGTGGTGGATTCGGTCGTGGTGGATTCAACCAAGGTGGACCCCGTGGTGGTGGCCGTGGCGGTAACCGCGGTGGACGTGGACGATTTTAAATTGTAGTGCATTGAACAAATAAAAATGTGTAAATACAGAGAAAGAGAAAAGTCATGAGCATAAAATGCCTTGAATAAAAAATATAACCCGGCCTAATGATGATCCGGTGCCTATAATAATATATCTAGTGTTTCATGTTTTTTCTTTTTCTTCATTTCAGGTAAATGCCCTTGATTCAAAACAGTACCTCCAACAGTAGATTTCAGACTGATACAGCTTCAAGAGTACGCAATGTAAGTGAATTAGAGTATTCAGACTTTAGTGATGCTTATATATACAAAGTTTCGTACTCGCTTTCTATCAAGATATATTTATAGCGACCCGGAAGAGCGTCACTATTATGCAAGACACAGTTTACACTCCAGAAGAAACTTAATAGAAGACGAAGAAGACGAAGCTGAAACAGTGGTCACAGGACCACGATATCACGCCAATAGTAGTAATAGTAGCAGTAGCAGTAGCACTATTAGTACCGGCAGTAGTAGTAGTAGTAGTAACAGTAGTAGTACAAGTAACCATGGTATCAGTAGCAGCGATGAAGATGATACGACAGGAATCCTTCATCGTTCACCTATTGACTTGTATCGACTAGCCATTAGAACCAACAACGAGATTTTAGAAGACCTAGCGGCCATCATCCGGATTCTTCGACAAATGAACACAATCTATCGCATATTTAACAACAACAACTATCATAGCACATTGGGTTATTCAGCAGAAGGAGATGAAGAAGAAGCAAACAAACTACTGGAGGCCGGTTTATCTGACTTGCAATCTGTCCTAAGCACAGAGCACAAGAGACAATCTACGCTGGCCTTGCTGGCTCTTCTCACGTGTCATCATCATAATGAACATGGTCATGGCTGTTCGGACCAGTATCTTCGTCAATATCTCGATCCAGATGGAGAATATGACCCACGTCTAGCAATATTTGCTGCAGCCATCTACGACGACGAATTCGAGCTGGAACCCAAATCATGCAGAGACATTATGATTGCAGCTGAAGAAATCTGTGGACCTGCCTGGTTGGATGAGTTTCATAAGGAAAAGGAAAGCGCGCTAAGAAAGATGCTAGAAAAACTTGCCTTTGTGGCCAAGATTCGACTAAAAATACGCGACGAATCAAATACAAGGGTTGTCCGCTAGAGATCACCCAAAAAAAAAAAGGAGAACCCTGAGGCACTGATAAATTTTAATTGGTGGATTCTTTTTATGGAAATCCAAAAACTTATCTCTTTCGGATCGATTAGTTTAAATAAAGACTTTTGGGGTAAAAAACATGTTTCTCTCTTTTTACTTTTTTTCTTTACTTTCTTCAATGGCTCATCTTATTAAAAGAAGCTTGACAACATGCGTAGAAAAGCCAGCGACGATCAAGAAGAGTTTACCCATGTTTGATTTCTTTGCCGTATCCAAACCAAAGGCATCCTATACCTTGAGCAATGGTGCTACAGGATTTGCAAAAAGGAGACAGACAACACCATGCATCCAGATGCCTTACCATGTACAAGTAGGCGAAGATGCTTACTTTAAACGATCAGATGCCATTGGTGTCGCTGATGGGATCGGTGGATGGTCAAATACAGCTGGTATATTTCCAACAAAAAAAATTTTATTATTTTACTTATTTTATTTATCAGGAGCAAACTCAGCACTGTATTCAAGCCAATTGATGCACTACGCCAACTTGGAAATGAATCGATTTGAAGACATAGAGGATCCTTATTTTTTTCAATACAACACTACCAATCCAGTGGATATCCTACAACGCAGTTATGAACAAAGTCTGATGGAGGCCAAACGATTAAATACACTAGGTTCCACAACTGCCTGCATTGCTGTCTTACGCCATGATGAATTAAGGGTAGCCAATATTGGCGACTGCGGCATTTCTGTCATTCGACATAATCAATACGTCTTTCGAAGTGAAGAGCAGCAACATGCATTTAACTTTCCTTATCAACTCGGTATTCTCTCAAAAGATCAACCAAAGGATGCACAGTCATTTACAGTCCAGGTCGAAAAGGGAGATATTATCATCATGGCCACCGATGGATTATACGATAATCTATTTGATAAAGACATTCTAGATATTGTTCGAAAGCATGTTCAAGCACATACTATACCAGCTACCAAAGATCGACCTGCTCGCGTATGTAATCTTCAGGCCCAAATGCTGTCTGATGTCTTGGCTAACAAGGCAAAAGAAGTCAGTGAAACCCGATATCGAATCGAAACTCCATTTCAACGACGGGCGATGAAGGAAGGATTCTTGATGGAAGGTGGAAAACAAGATGATATTAGTGTCATCGTAGCCATCGTTAAAGACTGTGAGGATTCTCCTGATCGTCGTTTATAATAGCATCTAGAACTTTGCATTGTTTTTTTATTTATATTTTCCGCATTTTTTATTTATATCATCCTCACTTTTTAATAAATATTTGGCTTGTGTAAGGCATTGTAAGCTTACATAAGCTGAAGTCACTACTTTATGTTGGATATGCTGCATATTAATGACAGGAAAGACATGTGGTTGCATATTCAATGAAACTTGTTACATTCCATTATATTAAAATAGTAACGGTTTCTTCCATGGTTTCAATTTGATCCATGGTTTCTGTCTCTGTTTCTATAAAAGAAAAACGTGGGATATTATAGACATTAGACCGTGTAACCTTAGCGACGCAATATAGCTCTCGTCTTTTTCTTTATATGATTGGATAGTTTTAAAAGAGTGAAACAAAAGCCATTCATGTTTTGATACGCGTGTTTATTATATGAATAAAATAAGAGTGTAGGATATATTTTAGAGAGAGAAGGTGAAATCTATAAAGAACGAATTATGTGATAGTGAAACATACTTGAAAGAAATAAGACTTTGAATAAATTCTATCAGGACAAAGACCAAAATCATCCTCAAGGAGTTTACAGAGACGAGAATGATCATGCTGATATGGCGGAAAGAGCCAGTTGAGTTGCAGACGACGTAAGTGAGGAAGGTGCTGTACCAATCGATAGATAGTTTCGGGAGAGACATCAGTATCCAAATATGCCAGATTCAAAGAGATAAGCTCGTCAAGGGCCATGATGGGTAACATATCACGTTCTGACAAGAGCACGATATCATCATCACATAGTGAAATCACAGTGGGTGTGCGGACAGTTAAATGCGGTATATATCCAAAGCATGGTAGCAACTGGAGTAATATTGTTTCTGATCTGTAGTTGCTCAGGCACAGTTCTCCTCGGTACTCAACCATTCCATATGGATGAACAAATATGTATGCGTCGAGGTCAATCTCAAGACAGGCAATGTAAGGGCATAAAGTGATCAAGTGCTTACCAAATTGGATGAGATCAATTTCTTGTTTTTCACTCTCTACACTACACTTCAAGGGATTACCCATCTCAAACGACATAGGTAAATTCTTTGGTTGCTCTGAAAGAGATACTTCTCGCACGTAACATCCGTACATAATCTTGGATAATTGCTGTTGGTCGTGTAGGCTTATGTGATGCCAAAGTTGTGGAAGAAGAGCAAAATAGCAAGAGCGACATGTACTTGCAAAGTTCTTCTTGTTCTCAAGATAGTTGCCAATATGAGTTATGATTTCTGTAGGGAGTTGGTCAAGTCTCATAGTTCAGTAAATAAGAAGAAAGAAGAGACCAAACGAGAATGATGCATAAATACAAGATGGGTAAAGTTTAGACCAATAAAGACAGCGTGGTGTGACATCTGTATCCAATAAAATCAAAAGGGTCCTTTTTAGTGGTAGAGTCATGAATGTGAGCCGATAATGACTATCAGAGTATACGCTCACAGGATAATATGAAGATATATATCATGTCTTATAATCTTGTTGTTCCGGACTTGCCTTTATGAATCTTTGTTTTTTTTTTTTTTCTTCGAGTAAATCCTTCGGCTCGTCCCGCAACTTTCTCTCTTTCGAAACGCGGATAAAAAAGAGAAGAAGGGAAGGCCTAGATTCAAAGGGATGCGAGAAGAGAAGAAGGGGATTCTGGGAAAAGCCAGCTTTCATTTTTACACAGCTTTTGTCTACCGAGGTTCAGCCTCTCTTATCTCTTTCTCCCTGTGTTTCTCTCTTTTACAATCTCTTCCCCGATAAAAAATAACCAAGCTGAATTGAAATCTGCCAAATCGCATTCAATAATTTCTAATACTCTGTCATAGAATAATTAAATGTTCAAGGGAGATAGACAGACAACCACACGTGATTTCCATATATGGAATATGCATGCTGATGTATGTCCGTGTCATTCAAGATACAAAGGGAAAAAAGAGACAAGTTGCCAAGGAAACAAAGAGAAAAGATGGAAAAATAAGCAAAGTATTGTGTAATAGAAACAACCAGGCTTTACTCATCGTTTTCTAAATTGAGCAACTCTCCTTTTATCTCCAAGCAGCAACAACACTTTCTATTTAAAGCCAATAAACCTCCGACTTTTCTCTCTCTTTCTCTCTCTCTCTATTTTTAATATAGTTTCGACATGCCGTTTTTTAGAAAAAAGAAATCAAAGGAAGGCTTGAATGAAGATAGTATTGTATATAGTATGACACCTCGACACGGTCACGGACAAGATGTAGTGGATGAAAATGGCATTCGGCAGGTGGCAGGCTGCTTACCTATAGATCCAATTAATAAACGATTTCTTCTGGTGACATCAGCGAGCAATCCAGGATCTTGGGTCATTGTAAGCTTATATATAAGAGTATATCAAGGAAGGAGATACTTATCATATTCTATATAGCCTAAAGGAGGCTGGGAAAAGGATGAAACTCAAAAACAAGCTGCGATGAGAGAAACATGGGAGGAAGCGGGTGTAAAAGGAACTATAACAAGACATGTTGGTGTGTTTGCAGAAAAATCGAGGCATGGTGTGAAAGCACATCATTGGATCTATGAGATGGAAATAAAGGAAGTGACTAAAAAGTTCCCCGAACAAAAGAAACGCGAAAGGAGATGGGTAAGGGTGTCTGTATGTGTATATGACCAATGCTAATAGACATTTAGTTTACCTATGATGAAGCAATGCTTGTAGTGAAAGCTCATTATATTAAGGATGCCATCAGTTTATCCAGTCTCAGTCCACTTGTGCACCCTGAGAATTTAGAAGAGAAAAAGAAGAAGAAGAAGAAGAAGAAGGAAAAGAAGGACGATGATGAAGAGGATGGTAATGAAGACGATGGAGAAGAAAAGAAGAAGAAGAAGAAGAAGAATAAGGATGAAGATAATGAAGAAGAAGAAGATGAAGATGAAGATAAAAAGAAAAAGAAAAAGAAGAATAAAAAGAAAGATGGTAGTGATGAAGATGAGAACGGAGGACAAGAAGGAAATGAAGATGAAGAGAAGGAAAAGAAAAAGAAAAAGAAAAAGAACAAGGATGGAGAAATCACTGAGTTGAGCGAAGAGGAGATTGCAAAGTTACAATTTAGTAAATTGGAGTTGGAGCCTGAAACTGACGTACCTGAATTAGTTGGCACGGAAACTAAAAAATAAACTTGTAATTAAGCTTATGGATTCATACCTTATTTGTTTGAAGAGGCGAGCTTTTTTTTTATGTGCTGTCATACAAAATAAAAATGAACTGATCCGAGTGAGCATTTGAATGATTTTATTCATGCGATAACGTTTAAACAAAAAAAAAAAAAAACATGACGCATACACTATTGACGGGTGAGATTGCTTTCAAAAGGGAAATCTTGACGCTGAGTCGGTTTAGATACTATAAAACGATGGTATGGTGATGCATGAATTTCGAAAAAGTTATCAACTCAATTCTTGATCATTTCTTCTTTACCAACACCGTCAAGCCAGTTTCTATCTCTTGAACAGCAGTAGAAGCAATACTTCTTTAGATAATCGTACTCAACTAAGTGATCTAAGAAACGATCAAGGCGAAAAACAGCACTCGCCAATAATTATCTATGGTTATGAATTTCACGAAGAAACAAGCAATATGCATGTTTTACCATGTCGAATTCACTCCAGGGAATACTACGTACACAAAAAGAAAGCTAAATGAACCATAATTGGAAATATGTTACAATTCTACACCCAAACCAGTCTATACTCTTTGCTGAACAAAGAATATATTTAACCTACCGCAAATAATTGGGATGTTGTACCAGACAAAAAGAGAACTGTAAGCTCAAAAAAGGAAAATAAGTATGATAACTAATAATATCCATTATGTCGATGATATCCGAATAATCAAAAGAAAGATGGATTTGATACAATCAATAAAGCATACAACTAAATTTGAAAACAAAACAATTAAAAAAAAAGGTTATTTTAAGGGCAAAAAAGAAAAAAGTGCATCAAATCACAAAAGATATTATTATGGTAAAACAACTCTGCTAAGCCAATGTGAATAGAATATGTCAGTAAGTCTGCTGAGCGAAAGAGCAAAGCTAGTTGAATCAATGATCACTAATTTACTTTATTTCATGTGTATCAACGCCTTTTTCAGAACGAGAATTAAATTTAAAATGTAAAAATGTATTTATTTTACTTAATTATAGAAATAACAATATATAAGATAATGAATGAATAACAATGCACCAGGCAAAATATATAAAATGGGTTAATAATACAAACTATACATAATAACAATAATAAAAGAAAGCTCAACTTCTTCTTCTATTGATCATGACTCTCTTTGTAGGGTATTTGACGTCACTTTCTGAACCACTACTACTGCTACTGTAGCTGGCTGACCTCTTTTTGCCTCGTCGATCATGATACATTGAATCTGATAGACAATGAGTAATCATTAGTAAAATTAGATTATTATGTGAGCAATTATTACCATGAACATCAAATGTAGTATTGTTTCTTTCTTCTTCTTCAAGCATAGGTTGTAAAATACGTCTTCTTGCATTGATAAACCAATTGCTAATTTGATTCAAGTTCAAGTTAGTCTCTGCTGCCAATGCTGCCTTTTCTTCTTCGGTAGGATACGGGTGCTTTTTATGTTTGGAGAGCCAATCACGAAGTATGGCTGTCACAGCCTTAGGCAGGTTCCCACGTCGGCGTTTATTATTATTATTAGGTTTATCTGTCAAATGCTTAACCACATTTGAAGAAGAAGAAGAAGCGATGACAGGAGGAGGACTAGGTGAGGATATTAAGGAAGGTACAGGTGAATGAGGTTCAGGATGATCTAAGAAAAAGATAACAGAGTTAAATATGTTTACAATTACTATTTTATTCTTATTCTTATTACTATTATGATTATTATTATCACCTCTTGTCCATGTTATGATGTCTAACCAGTATTTGCCATTTGTTTCCAACATGTCATGAATTCTTTTCTTGTGTAAATCAAGATGGCGTTTATCACTATAAGGAATATGGATATGATGTAGATCACCTGCTTCTACATATTGATGATCATGAAATAAGATAATAGGACTAAAGGTACGTAATTTCTATTATGACCATTTTGAGTGAGTTATTCTCTTTTATTTTACTTTTATTACTTTACCTTTCTTTCAACAGTAAGAGATGATTGTTGAAATGACATGACGCAAAATAAAGACAGATTAAGAAGAGAGAGCGTATATAAAGTGAGAAGTGTATATTAATAGAATTGACAAGCGGGGATTTATAAATAAATATAAAACTTATATTGCATATAATAAAAAAAAAGGAGAGTAATAAGAAAGAAGTAAGAAATAATAATAATAACCAAAAAATGCTTATTTAACTCTCTCTTTTTATATTGTACGACGCATGACCTAAAGGGCTGATTCTTTTCTAAACGTCATTCAATAAAAATAAACGCTATGACCAACTCTCACTCTTTCTTTTTTTCTGGCTCTGTCCAAAAATGTCATTTGAAAACGTGTGTCCCCCAATTTTTTGTGCGCGGGCGCGATTTAGATGCCCATGACTTGCTTTATTTGTTCCTTTCTCTTTTCAATTTCAACATGTAAATCATTAGAATTACTCATCAATTCATTTAAATCAACGACGTGCTTTCTATTCTGTAAGGCCAAGTCTACTTTAGCATCCAAGTTATCCAAAGTAACAAATTCCTCTGTCTCTGCATATAACTTGATCAACTGCTGACGTCTGACCTGTCTCTGTTGTTCATCAAACAACATACGATTGATATTACGTTGTTCAGTTCGATCTTTGATTTGACTAGCTTGATTTATATCCAAGTCTAATGTTTCCATCACCTGTTCTTCATGTTTCTTTTGTTCTTCTTTAGCTTGTCTAAAATATGCTCCCATCTCTTCCTTTTTCTTTTCTGCCAATGCTACTTTCTCGGCTGACTCCATTTCTTTTTGTCCCTGCTTTTCTAATAATTCCCGTGCATATCTTAAGCGTGTGAGCTTCAATTCTCTTCTGTACAGCTGTTTTGTACTATTAGCTTCACTCATTGACTTTTCTGTAGCAGCTCCCAGGTGAGAAGGAATGGATGTGGCAATGTCTCCTCGTTTCTTTTGTATTTTGATACTCTCTCTTGTTCCCTCAGGTGGCGCAAATCCAGGTGCATACCCTTTACGTCCGGGTATATACTGTTGTGTAGACACACATCGTTTACTCAAATGACACACACGATTCCACATTGCAACAGAGTTACAAAAAAAAGAAAGAGAGGGGTCCCAAAAGAATTTTTGTGCTGAAAATAGCAGTCTCATTGTGACTTGCTTATCGTTTCTTTTACTTTCTCTCTAGTCTCTTTCTCTTTCTCTTCTGGTGTATTCGAGATTTTTTTTTTTTCTCTTTCTCTTTTTCTCTTGTTTAATATGGAAAAATTACTTCAGTGGGCAGTAGACAATAGTAACAAGAATTCATTATCTGAACAAGCAGAAGCTATTCGTAAAGGAGAAGCCAAAATAGATCCTTCCAAATATGACCCAAGAATACTTGAAGCCATCTTGGGTCCAGACGACGCAACTCGAATGAAAGGTATGTATATATATATTCATAAGCAATGATATGACTAACCATTTATATAGATGCTGTTGCATGTATTAGTAATCCTGAAGAAACCGTTGAAAATAAGGAAATCGCCTTGGACAACTTGGAATTGGTAAGCACACCATTTTTTTTTTGTATAGACATTTTCCAACTCTTTTTCTTTTTGTTAGCTTATCGAAGGTATCGATAACGCCTGCAACCTTGAAAATATGAAACTATGGCCTGCAGTCATTGAACAACTGAGTGCAAAGGAACCTCAAGTACGTAAGGGCACTGCCTGGGTCTGCGGCACGGCTGTTCAAAACAACCCCAAGGCACAAAAGGCCTTCTTATCTCACGGGGGACTTGAACCTCTCTTGCGTTTACTTGACACAGATCAAGATAATGAGGTCCGTAGCAAGGCACTGTATGCCATCTCTGGCCTCCTCAAGCACAACGCCGAGGCTCTGGCTGCCTTTGAACCCCTCGATGGCTTCAATGTCCTTCGTCGTATCCTTCATCACGAAAACCCAACAATGGTGCGCAAGGTTATCTTTTTGTACAATAGTTTGATGATTGACAATGAGAGCCTAGCCGCACGCTTGGTTCATGACCATACCTTGGAAGATCTCGAAGGTATCTTGAAGACGTATACGACAGAACGCGACGATGAGGATATGGTCGAAAAGACACTACGAACGATCCATACAATGATTCAAAAGAGCCAAAAGACACCATCGGACGAATTAAGAAAGACGTGTCAGGCAGCAAAAGACAAGTATGGTGCAGATAATTTGAACCTTGTTGAATCTGAGTGGAAGGATTTACTGTAAATAAAAAGATTTTATTTTGATATATGTACAATAAAAACAAGCGTTGGTTAATCGGTTACCGACGAAGACTCCTTATACGTCAGATTTAACTGATGGATTTCTTTGCAAAGAATGGGCCATGTGATGCTGATCGTGCCTGTCTCCTTTTGTTCGAGCTGTAGCATCTCGTAGACAAACTTCAAGTTGGGCTGAATAATCACGTTCAATCGCCTGGCTCGAACAAAGAGATAAGCTTGAACAAGAGTGTACTTTAGATGCTTCATGACGTAACATATAGTGACCGCTGCACTTCGACTAACGCCAACGCGGCAATGGATCAAGCAGCAGGTTCCCTGTTGTCTTGCGTCGTCTGTAAATGCGTATATATGGATGAGCTTGTATTTTTGTTTAAAACAAAGGGCTTACCTATAAACTGCATGACAGTGTCCAGTCGTTCACGAATAGCATCGATACCGTCATCATAAAGGTTATCGAGAAGTAAAAGCTCAAACCCCTTGGTCTGAAGACCAGCATTCTCCCCGACACTGACGACATGAGTTATATGGAGAGCCTTGAGCATCTCTGCATTGGTCGCATGGTTGAGATTTCCGAGATAAAGAAATGGTAAAATTCTGGACGGAAACGACCCCTCAAATCGTGGCGAAAACATCCAGGGGTGCTCTTGAAGCTCTTCAGGCGTAGGTGAAAGCTGTGTCTTTTGAACGCATTGACCGGTAACGACTGTACATGGAGTTGAATGAGAAGAACTGTCTTCGATGCTCAGGTGCCGCATGTTCTCATAAGCTTCACTTCTACGTCGCTTGGGCACAGGTTCGGTCGGCTCATCTTTGAGGAGCTGTTCGATACGTCTGAGCACAGGCAGATCGGCAGCATAGACAAAGAACGAGCGTCGTTCTTGCAGGTAAAGGTAGGCCTCAGGCAGAGATAGCTTCAGTCGGTACATGATCCAGGACAGCACGAGTGTACTCGATTCGGTGTACCCGTCTGAGCAATGGATCAGTATCTGCCGATGACGGTTCACTTGATCCTCCATAAACATCAACAGTTGCACCAGACGTGCATAAAACGTATCAAAATCAGTCTTGGTCGCAGGCATGCCTGTGCCGTACATATCCAAATGAACAATCTCGGATGGCATCGCGCCATCCTTGAGCTCGTTTAGTGTCTCACGAGCAAGCATGAGCACAGACGGAGCCGGGATCTCGCCCAAGTCGTGGCATTCGATACAGATTGAGAATTGATGCGGATTGCTGTCAAATGTGGCTGCTGTATCTTCAGGTGTAATGTCATTTGTAGATATAGGCGCATCTTGTGTGTTTCCTGCCTGAAAAAGAGAGAGTATTAACTTTAATCACAACCATTCATGCATATATATATATATATATATATATATATATATTACCCAAACGCCTGGTGTCACTTGAGATGCAGCACTCATCTCTCTCATCCGAACTCCTTCTAGTTCAAAAAAATCCAATGTTCTTTTAGCCACTCCATCAGAATCGTACATGATGAGCTCAGGGTATTCTTTTTCAAACACTTGGAATTCATCTACAGTGAGAAGAAAAAAAAAGCGGGACTCATTAGATCAATACACAACACAGAGGCAGAACACTTTTTTTTTGTGAACCTTGTATGATGATTGTTTTGTATTTTATTAGATTCGCTTCTGCCGCTGCACGCTTTCCTGCTGTTCGAGTGATCTGGTCGGCTTGATCAAGTCGTTCTTGATAGAATTCGTTTTGAGCCATCGCGACCAACGGCGCCACTTCGTGCGCTCGTTCTCCGTATAGAAAGATATCACACAGGGTTGCAAATCGACGGACCTGGTTCTCAAAGTTACGCAGGTTGATGGACGTATCCATTGTGCTCTTGTTCAAAAACTGGCCTTGTTCGTCTAATACCTCCAGTGGGGTGACCGAGTCGATCAGTCGTTTGGCATGAACCAGTGGATTACAGTGTATCAGCATGATGCCACGGTACTTGGGTACCAGGCTGCGACGGACGCGAAAGAAGAGATTTTGTTGATGTGATCGGCCATCGACGCCATGGAGCCAAGGAAATAAAATGTCATTTGGTAACGGGAATCGACGATACTGGTCTTGTATTTTGGCATAGCCGTGAGGGGTGCAGGTGAATATATTGTCGGCTGTAAGTGTAAGTAAGTGTTCTGGTATCTCGAATAGTTCTGACATCGTTTATGCTACAAACAAAAAAAATTATAAAAAAGACTATGGGTTAGTGCTGGGTTCATAAATAAATGGACTCCAGATCAGCTTTTATTGGATGACACAGCGTCATTCTTTACTTTACTTGCTGTTTCTAATCATCTTTTGTTCATATTGTTATTGTTAATAGCAATAATGATCGACTATTAATAAGAGAAATCAATTAAAGAGAGATATTTGTATGTAACATATGACGATGCTAATCTCGCTTTGGTATTGTACAAGATCTACCTCACACACACACACTCATACTCACATATGAATGTATTCTCATCAGGGGTAAGCGATGGTCCGTGCGTCTATAAATAATTTTGTAAAAGTATCCTTTACTATTTTTCTTTTTCTTTTTTCTTTATTTTCTTTCTCTCAATAACACTGCGATTATATAAAATAGGCATATTTTACTCTCGTAGAAAGACACGCTTAAATCACCACCGAAGTAATGACATAAAGATCCAAGGCACACATACGCACTACAAAAAAGAAAAGAATGACAGCTACCATTAATTATTCGTATGCACGTGCAATGGTTTATATCCATGATGTAAGTCAAAGTAGAATAACATGCGTCTGACACATTTTAGGATAATTTTTGGATACAGCAAAAAAAAAGGAGGAGGAGAAAAGGGGGAAAAAAAAAAAAAGAAAAAATAGCTGTTGTCATAATGGCAGTCATGAGTAAGTTAAATATCAAAATGTTGTTTATAATATAAGCCTTTAATGTTTATCTTTCAATAGCCTTTTTAACTTTTGCCCTTTTAATTTTTAGTTACACAAGATAATTATCCATTCTATTTCGATACCCCGCTCAAAGAACTCTAAAAAATAGGCAAGCTTTTTTTTTCTCTTTTTTTCTTTTATAAAAATAAAAAAGCAGCTCTTAAACTCCTTATCTTGCTGTTGTATCCTCCTTGTATCCATTTTATATCTTATTTTCTTCTAGTCTCCTAAATCTCTGAATAATAAAAAGGTAGTCATTTCGAAATAGTTGTTTCTCTTTTTATAATTTGTGACTCATCATTATAAAGATGTCTGACGCCAAAGCTGTGATTAAGAGTGTTGACATGAGTGAAGAAATGCAACAAGAAGCTATCGAATGTGCAACACAAGCTTTAGAAAAATACAACATCGAAAAAGATATTGCAGCTCATATTAAGCGTGAATTTGATCGTAAATATGGTAAGTTTAAAGACAACGACAAAAAAAAATAGTGCTAAAAAATTTTCAAGGACTTACTTGGCACTGTATTGCTGGACGTAACTTTGGTAGCTTTGTTACTCACGGTAAGGATATGCATATTTTAAAAAAGAAAGGAATACTAAAATGAGAGATTTGTAGAATCAAAACACTTTATTTATTTCTATCATGGACAAATCGCCATTCTCTTATTTAAATCTGCCAATTGATGTAACCAAATTGAATGATGATGAAATGATTATAAAATAAATAAAAAAAAAAATAAAGGAATTATAAGATTTTCTCTCTTCTATAAAAAGACGCCAAACAAATGAAAAACGTCAAGTTTCTTTCTTTCTTTTTTTTTTTTTTTGTTTCCATAATTTGTTGTCATGCTGAAATTAATTATTGCTTCTATACAAGTATGCGATTGCATTGACCCCTTTTTTGATATCAATTGTTAATCTAGTGAGCATAGGCCATCTTACAAGTCATGGTTGTCGTCTTCTTTGGCGCACTGTTGGCCAGAATGGGTTACTTTAATATGGATAAGCAAAGAGTAATTATTTCCGTTGATCAATTGATTGAAACTAATAGAATACATTCCTAGTGGCTATCCAAGTTAAATATGGTCTTCTTTACCCCTTGTCTACTGTTTTCTAATATTGCGTCCATCATTTCCTTTCAGAAATTACTCGCTTTTTGGCCTATTCCTGTCTTTTACCTAATCTTTACAGTCATGAACTACACGAGTTCAAACGTCTTTTCTCGATTGGTAGGTTTATCTCCAGCTTATCGCCGCTTTGTTACTGCCTGTGTCATGTTTTCGAATTCAAACTCTGTCCCGATTGCTATCATCTCGAGCTTAGCCGTATCGGATGCTATCAAGACCTTGGCTTGGACTGACGATGACACGTCTGAATCAGTTGCTGCGAGGTAATAATAATAGTAATAATGATGATTATATTTATGTATACTAAATCCATCATCAGAGGTATATCCTATACTCTCTTTTTTGCCATCTTTGGAAACTTGATTCGCTGGTCATACGGTTACCAACTACTTCAAAAGCGCAGTGAAGATGATACATCAACCATTCATGAAGACGAAGAAGTTCAAATCAATAGCAAGTATCATTCTATCGGTAACATCTCTTCCTCATCATCTGCATCTGGACAATCGGGCATCATTAACCCCAACGAATCCACCCAACTATTGGCTCAAAACAAACAAATAAGCAACAAACATCCCGATGAGGACAACATTGTGAAAGTTATAGCCAAACGCATTCACGGTTTCATGTCACCCCCACTCTATGCTGCTGTTGTGGCCCTTGCTGTGGGACTTTCTCCTCTGAAACCATTCTTGTACGACAAACAATCCTTCTTGTATCCCTCGTTCACCAAAGCCATCGAGTCCTGTGGAAAGGCTGCTGTGCCTCTTATCTTGTCTTGTTTGGGTGCTCAGCTCGTCGATATCTCACAATCTCAACATCCTGCATCTCCAGAAATGAAAAAACCCGTCACTCTGGCCATTGTTCTTCGCATGATCATTCCTCCATTCATTGTTGTCCCTCTTTTGGTTTTGTTTGTCAAGTACGGTGCTCAGTGGTCTAGCCTGGCAGGTGACCCAGTATTCATCACCATGATGATCGTCCTTGGTTGTACACCTACTGCTATCAACTTGGTCCAGATTACTCAGGTGAATCATGTTTTTGAAGAAGAGATGCTTCGTATGCTCTTTTGGAGTTATGGTGTTGTCTGTGTGCCTGCTTGTACCTTACTCGTCTTTTTGGCATTAAGTGTTGTAGATAAACTCCTTTAAGCTGTATATAAAGTTACCCTCATTTTTTGTTTTGTTTTTATTTGAAACAATAATAAATACCATATTCATTTCGTAGATATCAAGATGTGTGTAGGACGAACCTTATCATGCATAAAGTTAAAGAATCTCACATGACTACAGCGTCCCTTTTGGCATATTTTATCCTTATTTGTTGATCCTCCCTTCCACTGTATGACCATTTCCTGGGATTTGAAAGGCGTTTATACTGCGCGACATAAACAATGGTTAAAGCTATTACCGAGTATGTATTAAATTTCCATTGTGTATGATTAGATGAAACTGATTGTCTTTCCCCCCTTTTTTTTGTTTTGAGTTTTACTTGGTCATTATTATTTCAATTATTGCTATGACAACAGACATGTAGTCATCACAAGGAGATGTGATTGGCTCGCCTTGTCTATGTTTAGCTTTTCGATCAAGTAGATGAAGCTGTTTATATTTTGTGCTTTTCGATAGAGGACAATGGCTACTTCATTGTACATAAAGTGAGATGGGATGGACACTATTTTTAGAAATGGCTTAGCCTTGTTAGAAAATGTCAATGATTCTATGGTCGCAAGAAGGAGTGCCAAGAATATACACACGCGTACACAAAGAATACACAATAGTGCTTTTAACTAGTAAATCTCTTCACTACATACCATGGATAAAGATCTTTGTAGCTTACTCTCTCCTTTTCAGATGGCTTCTTGCACCATTCGATGCTCAAGAGTTTTCATTCATGCATTTATGATTTCTGCTATTAGTCAAGATGAGTGCGTGTTTGGATTAACACTACCAGGCTGGATTTTCTGTAATGGAATGCACAATCTATTAAAATCGCTATATATGCTGTTGCTTGGCGTTATTTCCTTGGCAGAATACAAGTGCCCAGAGTGCTTGGTTAGCCGATACAGTTACACATTCTATGAAGAGTTACACAGACTGAACAATGACAGACGCATCACGTTGTAGTCTAGAGTTGGCAAACATTCTACAACATGATAAACATGACTGAGAAGCCACATACAAAAAATTATATAACAAGAAGGAATACACAAAGAGGAGCTGGGAAAGAAAGATTTTTGTATCAGAGAGCAAGGCATAAAAAATCTAAGCTATATCAATTTCTGAAACCTCAAACAAACAGCTGTCATCCCAACGAAATCTCACAGATTTCTTTATGGCCTATAGTTGCAGTAAAGGCATTGAAGATGTAGAGAAGAAATTATCGACAATGGTAAAACTGATTTAAGAAGCACCAAGAAGCAAGCGATAATATGCGTCAGTTCTACGACTACTAAAACTGACACACAAATCTCTTAAAAAAGGATCAGTGACTATATCTTCCTCAAGTTACTGACAGTGAAAGCTCTGCTTCATCTGTGTCTCGCATATTGTTTACCAACAATAAAATCGATCTGGGAGTAGTTGTTTGCATTCATTGTGATTGCGTTGAGCTCTGAAGCAATTTTAAAGCAGAAAACTCGAGGATTTAAAACTGTTGTTAACACCATGAGTTGTACTTATATATGATGATCATTCATTATTTCCAAGAGGTGATCAAATAAAGTGGTTCAAGCAAGTTACTTACTGGTTCAACACAGCCTGATATCGGACTTTCATTTCATAGGATGAAGGTTACTCGAATTTACTAAAATCTATTCAACGCCGTAAATTTCGCATCATCTTTTTCTTTTTTCACAATAATTTTTGTAGCCAAAATGATGAATAATATGCTTTCTTACAGTGGTGGCATCGTCGGTCTTGTCATCTTGATCCTTGACTTAATCGTCATCTTTGAAGTCATGAACTCAAACCGTGCTATTTCTGGAAAATTGGGTTGGTCTCTCTTGGTCTTTTTCTTCCCTATTGTTGGCTTAATCCTTTACTTGTAAGTGTTGTTCATTTACACTAGACTTTGTTATTTACTAAAATATATCTGTAGCTTCTTTAGTAATCGTCAAGAACATAACGCACGCTACGAACCGCTTATATAACGATCGTAAACTTTTTTATGTGTGTGATAAATAATTCCTTTACCTTTGTTTTCACTATTAAACTCAGCTTTGTATCAATAAAAAAAATACGTAGTTTTTAATGCATGCATTTGTTACAGCTCAGCAATGTGACTATTGTTAAGAAAATAAACCATCACGTGTACTTTGTCGAGACGGTTAGAAACAGACCAATGCATGCCATCAAAGGCAAGAACAACCTTTGCTTATTCGACAAAGGCAAAAGCAGTAGGAGACTTGTTCACAAAGTACTCGAGCATCACACAAGGTTGAAGGTTGTATAGCATAAAGATGACGAAATAAATAGACTTTTTTTTTATTTATTACTAAAGAGTTGTTTTTTTTTTTTTGCTCTTGCCAAGATAGATCAACTAAGCTTGCGCAACCTATTGTGGAATCAATTGACATAGCTCATCTTTTCCTAGTATGTATTAACGTGCTGCTTGCATTAAAAGGTAAATAACGGCTTAATCTCGAGAAAGAAGTAGTAAAAACAATACTATATAAAGTCACGGCACACTTTACCTATTTTCACCTTACAGTCATACTAATAGTATAGTTTTTAGTTTTCATTTCATCAATCCAACACTTTCTAGGCATTAAGCGATTTTGATCTCCGAATAAAGGTGCGTCGCTCCTAGACCTGTCCTTTCATTCTCTTTTTCTTTTTATCTTATTATGAAAAACACAACACATATTCCCGCTTCTCCACTAAGATACAACGCTATTGATGAATATGAGTCTGGAATGGAAGCATCTGCTTCGTCCATGGCTGAAGATGATGATGAAATTGTACATAAAAAGCAGCATCTGCATAAAAAAACACAAGCACCAGCTGCAAGTGTCAGTAGTAGTACTAGTAGCGTAGATGAAGCAGTTGCTACAAAGATCTCATCCAGCTCTACAAAGCCAACGCACTTGAAAGATATGAAAGCATCACCACTTCGAATTATAACACCTTCAACAGCACGACTATTACAAAAGACAGATGAAGTACCAACACCTTCTTCTGGTTATGACGGCGATACTGAAGGGCCATTGAATGACGACACAAAAAACCATTCTTATTGATAATTCCCGGTAGCTATGTTACAAACCATTCATTGATGTTAATAAATTTATTGTAAATATATATTATAATGAGTTCATTGTGCCTTAGCAATAGCAATATAGGGTAAATTAAGCTTTGCTTCATGTTAAACAGTTACGACTTCTTTTATTGGTTTCATCTTGGAATATTATGACGTCCCTTCTACTTATTATATCATCGACCATAGTAACAATATGATGGTCAATCTTCCTTCTCTTTCTCTCTGTGTCTATTTAGCAGTTGGCGCTTTTTGTATATATTCATAGATAATCATTGATATTTTTATCATATTGATATGCTTAACCCATGTATAAGAAATTGTAGTCTAAATAACAGGTTGCCGTGACACCAAGATTTGTCTCCATGACATGAATGAGAGTCTTCTTTATATCAAGCAGATGAGTATACACTAATTTTATTGGGTTATTTGCTTCGAATGAATATATGTACAACAGAAGTGGGGTTAATCCCAATCAGGTATAAGTGAAAAGTCATAGCCAGGGTACTTGTAATATGCATAGTATGCAATGTACAGATGATAGGCGCCTATAATAACAATAAATAATCATATTTACACAACAAGCTAAAAAGCTAACCTGGAATAAACATGATACTGCCAAGTACAATAAACGGTATACCTCTGGATAACCATTCCTATTTAAAGATGTATTGATAAACTATATAGTCTATCTTTGTTTATGGCTTTTACTTCTGAAGTAATCTGTCCAATCTTAATCAGAATTCCAACTGCTAGTAATCCACCTCCAGCTAAGAAAAGCAAAATGGCAAGGCCAATTGCATTCCAAGGAACTGTCACATAAAGCAGTTTAGTATATGAGTAATATAAACCGCATAAATATATACATACTTGGTGGATCTTGGTTTTCAAACTGAGCAGAAGTAAAACCTGTGTCATCTTGTAATTCAACAAATCGTCTTGTTCTTGATTTTGGTTTAATGGGATTACGCATGTTCTGTAAAAATGAGATAGAACAAAGAAAATGCTAATACACTCTTTCTGGAAATTAAAGTCGCACCAGGTGAAACTCAATGTCACGACCTGACCTAATGCGCAGGATTTTTTTTGAATAGGGGCATATGAGCGCCGAGAACACTGCTATTGAGCATGGCTCTAAAATATAGGGGTTGAATAAACTCTGTTATTAGATTGCAGCATCAAGCGGCCAGATTTAATTTATATAGTCAGAGAAACTTTGATTGCTTACTAAAGGGTAAGCCTGTAACAAACATAACACCAACAAGAAGATGTGGTGAAGAAAAAAGGAGCATAGAGAACGGGGTGCAGTGTAGTATGTTATGAGAATTATGAACGTGAAGATGAGAGGAAAGTAGTGTGAATACCTATTGAATTTGAAGATTAGGTTATTGTAATAGCTGTGACAATGTCCATACAAGGTAGAAATTCACGTCAACGAGGCTCCAGGTGCCCTAAACCTGGTGTACAATACTAAGGTCAGATGTGGCATTACTCCCATCCTTTGCCATTGGCACCATCAACACAGGGAAATGAAAGACAGCAACAGCAACAGACACAAACAAACTCCAAGTCAGGGAAAGCCCAAACAAGAACACACATAGAAGGGAAACTTAAGTATGTGCATAATAATCGACCAGCCAACAGAGGAAATGGAAATGAATGGAGATGACTACACACCTACGAACCTCACCATTGGTAATAAGCAAAAGTTCAATTAGGACCACGGTGCACAAAACAAGAAGCGATGAGTAATAGGAAGAGATGTGTGTTGATATTAGTATAGCCGTGAGAGCAATGGACATAAAAAATAAAAAAGGGAAAGTTAGTAATGTGATCTTTCATAATTAACATATGTAACGAGCAATACAACAGGCAGCCTCTACATAAACAGGTTTCAGCCGACGTACGAACAAGATTGCTGTAAACCGGCCTACTACGTATTTGTGCAGGAATCATACCCAGGGAGAGCGATACGATCAAGTCGTAAAGGTACAATCGAGTATAACGGCTGAGGCGTTACTCTATCATACAGAGAATTTATCTGGTCTAGCCATTAGGTCTCTACAGAGCAAGCAAGCAAGATGAGAGCGATACGATCCAGTCGTAAAGGTGCAATCCTGCGTACCAAGTAACCCTATTGTATTGTCTTTCACTTACTTACCAACAAGGCAAAGATAGTTTCCTTTGAAGGAAAAAAAAAGAAAAAAGAAAAAAAAAAACGTACATAGTGTATTAAACTGATAACGTCTCCCAGATGCGGCGTTACAAACTTTGTCGCTGCTTTTTTTTACATAATGCCCATATTCTTTCGCCTTATTTCGCCACCAGCCATGTCAGGCGCTGTAAGCACTGATAGTAGCATTTCGTTACTATGTGAAACTAGTAAGTCTGTAATATGCTAATAAAAGTAATAGCCTCACACCAATTTTGTATTTCAAAGTGGATGAGGAAGTGCACACTGTGTATAAAAACTACTTTGAAAAGAAACATGTAAAGGATTGGAAGGTCTTAGAGATGTGTTAAAGGAATTGCTCGTTATTTACAAACCAATATCAATGGACGACGTTTTGATTTTTAAGCGATCTTTCAAATACTTCGCAAGTAATTACAAATCAAATGATGCACGTTTGAAACTTGCCATGAAGAAATTACATGATAATTACGACAAAACATTAGCCTCAAATCCTGCGAAACTTATCTTAAGTAAGGAGTGTATCGTTGTAAGCTTCAAGTTTTGTACATACTTTCTTTTTTCTAATGCTCTTTGACGGATGATATCAATTGAACTCGGTGTATTACTCATGTGTAACCGAAAAAGTAATAAAAGACAAGAATAAAGTGCTTCAATCGAGTGCACTACAATCACCAACATCACTATCTGTACCAGTACCATCATCTTTATCAACTTCACCTTCATCATCTAAAAGAGGTCCAGATGAGAGTTCAGCCCCCAATTTACAGAACAAGAGGCCCCGAAGATTGAGTGCCACTTACCTCAACACCTTGCTTTTAAATGAGAGGCTAAAATGTCTTATAAGTGCCTAGCAGCAAAGTTTTCAACTTTGCATTTCTGTTTAGTCACTGTTATTTACTAATATCTCTTCTCATTTTACCTAGTGGCAAGGGTAATATCTTAGATCTTGTCTCCCCTGGTATAATTCCTCTTAGACTTGCAAATGTCATCAAAGACGATACATGGATGTGAATCTGAGCCTAGAAGAACGCTTGTAAGTTTGTATAGCACAGATTGATATTAACATATGGTATCTCACTAATGAGAACTACCAATGTGAAGTTATATAATGATACTTACCCAAACTGCTTCATAATGATGCGTATGAAGAAATCATTAAATTACTGTCTACTTGGGTTGTCAGAGACAAGGAAAAGTGTGCCAAGTGAATATATTTTATTAATATTAAAGAACAAAAAGCCAAAGTGCGGGAGTAACAGAATGAAGTTTTTATTTAAGTAAGTAATAGTTTGATTTCCAAGCCATTTTAGAAGTAAAGAGAGAGAGCTTTGAATAAGTAGAGATTTTTCTTTTGATAGCCAAGTTTAAAGAGCAAATAGAGATTTCTTTTTTTTCTTCTTTCCATAAGCCCAGAAGGCCACATTATCACTAACTTTCAAACCCAAGGTGACTAGAACCATAGACTGCATGCCAGAAGACTACGCGGTATAAGCCCCCATGAATAAAAAGTACTCAAAGCTCAAGACTCAAAAATAAAAAGCCAATCTCAGAACCATACTACGGTAAATTCAACGAAAAAGGCGCTTCAACATACAAACAGTGCACTTCTAAGTACCTAGGTCGAAGCGTTTCGAAAGGGGTGATGACCGTAGAGACATCGGAATGTTGAGCCTTTGGAGCATCGTAACCATCGAGCTCAGTAGTAGGGAGGGTTTCAGGTCATTAATCAGCTGTAGAGGCAGAGCCATAACAACAGGAGCATTTCGGAGTGATTCAGCGTAGAGAAACAGCGACCTATAGCAGAGCTTGATAGAATTTGGCAGATAGTGGCAAAGTAGATTGGTTATATTTCTTGTGGCTTCAGGACTTGAATATGTGGTCACTCCAGAGTAGTATTCATTAGCAGCAGACATTTATAGACATGGGCAAAATCCTTCAAGGGCTTTCCGACGTTGATAAATATGGGACAGGGATTCACTAGCATTTTCAGGCACTGATGATCATTTGTAGGTATTGACAAGCATGAGTAGGCGTTCATTAGTCTTTCCAGAAATTTGATAAACATTTGATAAGCATGAGCGTTTGATTGTTTGAGTGTATTGATAAGCAGTAGCAAGCATTTTTTGGGTATTAGCGAGTAGCAGAGATTTCTGTAAAGCTTCACTCCATGAGAGGTCATTATGATAGAGTAGGATGCATCAGGAACCATGAAGTAGAGTCAGCAAAAGCGAACTTTCTAAACGATGGTATTAGTTATATGTCTTTTGAAATCACCTAAACTCTATTATATCTTTACAACATAGAAAATAATAAAAGCATAGGAAAATTTTAAAAGAGATAATGAACGAAGGAAGAAAA